TATAGGACTTGTTTTACTGTGGATATAGATACTTTTGTACCTGTTTCCTCCAGCATCTTCACAAGGTCCTTTGCTGTTGTTCTGGGATTGATTTGCACTTTTTGCACCAAAGTACGTTCATCTCTAGGAGACAGAACGCGTCTCCTTACTGAGCGGTATGACGGCTGCGTGGTCCCTTGGTGTTTATACTTGCGTACTATTGTTTGTACAGATGAATGTGGTACCTTCAGGCATTTGGAAATTGCTCCCAAGGATGAACCAGACTTGTGGAGGTCTACAATTCTTTTTTCTGGGGTCTTGGCTGATTTCTTTTGATTTTCCCATGATGTCAAGCAAAGAGGCACTGAGTTTGAAGGTAGGCATTGAAATACATCCACAGGTACACCTCCAATTGACACAAATGATGTCAATTAGCCTATCAGAAGCTTCTAAAGCCATGACATCATTTTCTGGAATTTTCCAAGCTGTTTAAAGGCACAGTCAACTTAGTGTATGTAAACTTCTGACCCACTGGAATTGTGATACAGTGAATTATAAGTGAAATAATCTGTCTGTAAACAATTGTTGGAAGAATTACTTGTTTAATGGACAAAGTAGATGTCCTAACCGACTTGCCAAAACTATAGTTTATTAACAAGAAATTTGTTGAGAGGTTGAAAAACAAGTTTTAATGACTCCAACCTAAGTGTATGTAAACTTCCGACTTCAACTGTATGTTATGTAGGAAAAAACAAGTTGGTTAAAAACAAGTTGTAATCCAGTAGGCTTTGATTACATTTCCAATATCCTCAATTATTTGATGGTCCGACCGCATTCTGTCCCCTAACAACACTCTTTTAACTTTTGGTCCAGTGAGAATGACATAAGAAAGTAGTCAAGACGACTAGCTTGATTGAGCCTCCGCCATGTACATCTCACTAGTTCAGGATGTTTAAGCCTCCATATATCCACTAGTTCCAGTATATCCATGACATTTGTAATTTCCTTAAGTGCATGAGGGTGATACTTTGTATTGTGATTTCCTTTACGGTCTATTGAGGAACTTAAAACCATATTATAATCTCCCACCATAATAATTGAGTCATGTAAGCTTGATAAATTATTAAATACATTTTCAAAGAAGCGTGGATCATCATTTCTTGGACCAAATAGATTAATGAGCCAAATCCTTGCGGATCTGTTTGAACGGATCTGTTTGAACATTCGGATAAAAATGATTGTTAATTAATATCATCACTCCTTTTGAGTTTCTTTGCCCATGGGAGAAATGTATTTAGCCCCCCAGTCCTTTTTCCATACAACTTCGTCTAAAGGTGTAGATTCAGTTTCCTGTAAACAATAAAAATGTATGCACACATGACTGTAAGTCGCTTTGGATAAAAGCGTCTGCTAAATGGCATATTATTATTATTATTATTATTAACAATAAATATTATATTCCTTCTCTTTTAGCCAGGTAAAGACTGATCGTCTTTTCTTAGTATCTGCTAAGCCATTACAATTATAACTAGCTATGTGTATTTCACCACTTACCATAATGAGATACACGTTTTAATTATACTTAACATAATATATGTTTGTAAACTTACCATTAAGAAGTACCATGATCATTTAGTGTCCATATAGCTGTACCATGTTATTTGCACTGTTAAGTGTACTGTAGCTGCTATTAAGTAAACCTCTAATTGTCCTCCAATATTCCCCCCGCTAAAACCTCCCCTCATCCCAAGTTGGGTTGTCCATCCAGTGACTGTCTGACCATCCCTGTGCACATCATTTCGAACGCCCACGCCTCGGTTGTAGTGCGTCTAGTTATAAAAAAATAAATACTGAATATATACAGTACCAGTCACAAGTTTGGACACACCTACTCATTCAAGGGTTTTTCTTTATTTTTACTATTTTCTACATTGTAGAATAATAGTGAAGACATGAAAACTATGAAATAACACATATGGAATCATGTAGTTACCAAAAAAGTGTTAAACAAATCAAAATATATTTTATATTTTGATTCTTCAAAGTAGACACCCTTTGCCTTGATGACAGCTTTGCACACTCTTGGCATTCTCTCAACCAGCTTCATGAGGTAGTCACCTGGAATGCATTTCAATTAACAGGTGTGACTTCTTAAAAGTTAATATGTGGAATTTCTTTCCTTCTTAATGCGTTTGAGCCAATCAGTTGTGTTGTGACAAGGTAGGGGTGGTATACAGAAGATAGCCCTATTTGGTAAAAGACCAGGTCCATATTATGGCAAGAACAGCTCAAATAAGCAAAGAGAAACGACAGCCCATCATTACTTTAAGACATGAAGGTCAGTCAATCCAAAGTTTCCTCAAGTGCAGTCGCAAAAACCATCAAGCACTATAATGAAACTTGCTCTCATGAGGACCGCCATGGCTAAGGAATACCCGGAGTTACCTCTGCTGCAGAGGATAAGTTCATTAGCGTTAACTGCACCTCAGATTGCAGCCCAAATTACATTTTCACAGAGTTCAAGTAACAGACACATCTCAACATCAACTGTTCAGAGGAGACTATGTGAATCAGGCCTTCATGATTGAATTGCTACTAAAGGACACCAATAAGAGGAAGAGACTTGCTTGGGCCAAGAAACACAAGCAATGGACATTAGACTGGTGGAAATCTGTCCTTTGTTCTGATGAGTCCAAATTTGAGATTTCTGGTTCCAACCGCCGTGTCTTTGTGAGACGCAGAGTAGGTGAACGGATGATCTCCGCATGTGTGGTTCCCTCCATGAAGCATGGAGGAAGATGTGTGATGGTGTGGGGGTGCTTTGTTGGTGACACTGTCTGTGATTTATTTAGAATTCAAGGCACACTTAACCAGCATGGCTACCACAGCATTCTGCAGCGATACGCCATCCCATCTGGTTTGGGCTTAGTGGGACTATCATTTGTTTTTCAACAGGACAATGACCCAACACACCTCCAGGCTGTGTAAGGGCTATTTTACCAATAAGGAGAGTGATGGAGTGCTGCATCAGATGACCTGGCCTCCACAATCCCCCGACCTCAACCAAATTGAGATGGTTTGGGATGAGTCGGAACGCAGGAAAAGCAGTCAACAAGTGCTCAGCATATGTGGGAACTCCTTCAAGACTGTTGGAAAAGCATTCCAGGTGAAGCTGGTTGAGAGAATGCCAATAGTGTGCAAAGCTGTCATCAAGGCAAAGGATGGCTATTTGAAAAATCTCAAATTTAAAATAAATGATTTGCTTAACACTTTTTTGGTTACTACATGATTCCATATGTGTTATTTCATAGTTTTGATGTCTTCACTATTACTCTACAATGTAGAAAATAGTTTAAAAAAATAAAAAATAAAAAATAGAAATAACTTGAATGAGTAGGTGTTCTAAAACTTTTGACCGGTAGTGTAGGTGTTTCTCTTGTCCAGGTGGGTGTGGGAAATATGGAGTGTAATTGAGATTACGTCATCTGTGGTTCTGTTGGGGTAGTATGTGAATTGGAGTGGATCCAGGGTGTCTGGGATGATGGTGTTGATGTGAGCCATGACCAGCCTTTCAAAGCATTTCATGGCTACAGTTGTGAGTGCTATGGGTGAGTCATTTAGACAGGTTACCTTGGCGTTATTGGACACAGGGACTATGGTGGTCTGCTTGAAACATATAGGTATTACAGACTGGGTCAGGGAGAGGTTCAAAATGTCAGTGGACACTTGCCAGATAGTCAGCACATGCTCTGAGTATGCGTCATGATAATCCATCCGACCCTCTGGCAATGTGAATGTAAACCTGTTACACACATCGGCTACGGAGAGCGAGATCACACAGTTGTCCGGAGTAGCTGGTGCTCTAATTCATGGTTCAGTGTTGCTTGCCTCGAAGCGAGCATAGAAGGGATTTAGCTCATCTAGTAGGCTTGCGTCACTGGGCAGTTCACGGCTGGGTTTCCCTTTGTAATCCTTGATAGTTTGCAAGCCCTGCCACATCCGACGAGCGTCAGAGCCGGGGTAGTAGGATTCGATCTTAGTCCTGTATTGACGCTTGCCTGTTTGATGGCTCATCGGTCGTAGAGGGATTTCTTAAAAGCGTCCAAATTAGTATCCCGCTCCTTGAAAGTGGCAGATCTTGCCAGCCAGTTCAGCCGCCACCCGTACTCCAGCATGTCCGGTGGTCACCAGCACCACAGGAAGTTCTCCAGCCAGTGCCCTCGTAGGGTGACCACATGTCCCGGATTGTGCGGGACAGTCCTGTATTTCGGCCCATTGTCCCACCTCCAGCAACCAAACAATAATGTCTTGCATTGTATCAACAAATTCCAGGCCTCAAACCAGCAGTCGCCAGAGCTGCCCCCAGGCGTCCAACGCGCTCTAGCCAGCCAACTCGACACCAGTGATGTAGCCAGACCAGTGACTGCCAGAGCTCAGGCCTGCCTAGCAACAGCCACCAGAGCCCAAGCCATTCCAGCAGCCGGCCTAGCTCCTCACCGCACCCCAGCCGGTTCCACCATGAGCAGCACTCGAGCCTTGATGAGTGATTGCCAGTGCTTCAGCCTGACCAGCAACCAACAGAGCTCCAGGAAGCAGAGATGTCGCCAGAGCTGCAGCCCGAACAGCAACTGCCAGCACTCCAGCCTGCTCCACCTGTAGACTGCCAGCCAAACTTGCAGCTACCGGTGCCCGAGTCAGCACCACAACCTACACTAGCCATCGCCGGACATAACTCTGGTGCTGGTCCCTACACTGCCTGCTGCCCTTGCAGACCTGTTCAGCCGGGACATGATGCCCAAGACGACTCTCCAACCAGAGTCCCACTCAGTGCCTTGGGTTCCAGCAGCAGATGCCAGACCCAGCACCAGCTCTGGGCCTGATGTCCGGCTCTGTCCTGGACCCACCGGCCGACCAGATTACAGTCCTGGTCCAGACATCCACTCCCGTCAACAGACCATCTCCATTGGCCGACCCAGCACCAGCCCTGGGTCCGATGTCTGTTCCTGTCCTTGGCTCATCAGCTGCATTCCTAGGTCCATCGCCTTCACCAGCTCCTGAGGATACATCACTGCTAAACCCACAACCAGCACTGGGTCTGATGTCCAGCCCTGCCCATACAACACTGCCTGATCCAGCACTGGACCAGATCTGGGCCTACCGCTGGCTCCGGATCTGGATGAACATCGAGCCCCCGTGGGAGAGCCACCACCTAACCAAAGCTCTCTCCCTGTTCCGGTCAAATAGGATGCCTCCATGGGATGGCCTCCTCCACCAGCCTGGACACCTCCGGCAGCACGGGCATGGACCGCCCTGAGTCCGGCTGGACAGCCCGGCCTCACAGTCACTGTGAGCACCTTGTCCTTCACTGCCTGCTCCATTCATGCCACGGAAGAAGTCCGATTGCACATTCTGATAATCAAAGCAACTAGATCACATGCATTTGACTGACTGGTCACATAGCTCACAGTGTATACTCTTAGAAAAAAAGGTGCTAAGTTGAACCATATAGGGTTCTTCGGTTTGTCCCAATAGGGGAACCCATTTTGGTGATAGGTAGAACCCTTTGCAGACGGTTCTACGTAGAACCCTTTATGCAGGGTTCTTCATAGAACCTCCTGTAAATGGTTCTACCTAGAACCCTCTATGCAGGGTTCTTAATGGAACCCCCTATAAATGGTTCTACCTAGAAACTCCTGGTTTACAGGCCACATCAGGCCTGCAAGTCACATTATGCTGGCTTGCAAAGTTATGTGTAATTCCTATTGGAATCCAGCCAGAGTGAGGAGATTCAACAATTTGAACTTTTAATCACTTGCAATCTACATTCAAAATGACTGCCAGGGTAGGGAAGATTGACTAATGGGACGACATAAGTCATCTCAACTAGAACAACTACAGTGCATTCGGAAAGTATTCAGACTCCTTGACTTTTTCCACATTTTGTTACGTTACAGCCTTATTCTAAAACATTTTTTTTATTTTTTATAATCCTCATAAATCTACACACAATACCACATAATGACAAAGCGAAAAACAGTTTTTTTAGAAATGTTTGCAAATGTATTAGAAATAGAAAACAGAAATACCTTATTTACATAAGTATTCAGACCTTTTGCTATGAGACTCGAAATTGAGCTCAGGTGCATCCTGTTTCCATTGATCATCCTTGAGCTGTTTCTACAATTTGAGTCCACCTGTGGTAAATTAAATTGATTGGACATGATTTGGAAAGGCACACACCTGTCTATATAAGGTCCCACAGTTGACAGTGCATGTCAGAGCAAAAACCAAGCCATGAGGTCGAAGGAATTGTCCGTAGAGCTCCGAGACAGGATTGTGTCAAGGCACAGATCTGGGGAAGGGTACCAAAAGATTTCTGCAGCATTGAAGGTCCCCAAGAACACAGTGGCCTCCATCATTCTTAAGTGGAAGAAGTTTGGAACCACCAAGACTCTTCCTAGAGCTGGCCGCCCGGCCAAACTGAGCAATTGGGGTAGAAGGGCTTTGGTCAGGGAGGTGACCAAGAACCTGATGGTCACTCTGACAGAGCTCCGGAGTTCCTCTGTGGAGATGGGATAACCTTCCATAAGGACAACCATCTCTGCAGCTCTCCACTAATCAGGCCTTTATGGTAGAGTGGCCAGACGGAAGCCACTCCTCAGTAAAAGGCACATGACAGCCCGCTTGGAGTTTGCCAAAAGGCACCTAAAGACTCATTTACATTTACATTTACATTTTAGTCATTTAGCAGACGCTCTTATCCAGAGCGACTTACAGGAGCAATTAGGGTTAAGTGCCTTGCTCAAGGGCACATTAACGTCATTTAGCAGACGCTCTTAGCCAGAGCGACTCACAAATTGGTGCGTTCACCCTATAGCCAGTGGGATAACCACTTTACAATTTGGGGGGGGGGGGGGGGGGGGGTTTAGAAGGATTACTTTATCCTATCCCAGGTATTCCTTAAAGAGGTGGGGTTTCAAATGTCTCCGGAAGGTGGTGAGTGACTCCGCTGTCCTGGCGTCGTGAGGGAGCTTGTTCCACCATTGGGGTGCCAGAGCAGCGAACAGTTTTGCCTGGGCTGAGCGGGAACTATGCTTCCGCAGAGGAAGGGGAGCCAGCAGGCCAGAGGTGGATGAACGCAATGCCCTCGTTTGGGTGTAGGGACTGATCAGAGCCTGAAGGTACAGAGGTGCCGTTCCCCTCACTGCTCCATAGGCAAGCACCATGGTCTTGTAGCGGATGCGAGCTTCAACTGGAAGCCAGTGGAGTGTGCGGAGGAGGGGGGTGACGTGAGAGAACTTGGGAAGGTTGAACACCAGACGGGCTGCGGCATTCTGGATGAGTTGTAGGGGTTTAATGGCACAGGCAGGGAGGCCAGCCAACAGCGAGTTGCAGTAGTCCAGACGGGAGATGACAAGTGCCTGGATTAGGACCTGTGCCGCTTCCTGTGTAAGGCAGGGTCGTACTCTCCGAATGTTGTAGAGCATGAACCTGCAGGATCGGGTCACCGCCTTGATGTTGGCGGAGAACGACAGGGTGTTGTCCAGGGTCATGCCTAGGCTCTTCGCACTCTGGGAGGAGGACACAGCGGAGTTGTCAACCGTGATGGCGAGATCATGGAACGGGCAGTCCTTCCCCGGGAGGAAGAGCAGCTCCGTCTTGCCAGGGTTCAGCTTGAGGTGGTGATCCGTCATCCATACTGATATGTCTGCCAGACATGCAGAGATGCGATTCGCCACCTGGTTATCAGAAGGGGGAAAGGAGAAGATTAGTTGTGTATCGTCAGCGTAGCAATGATATGAAAGGCCATGTGAGGATATGACAGAGCCAAGTGACTTGGTGTATAGGGAGAAAAGGAGAGGGCCTAGAACTGAGCCCTGGGGGACACCAGTGGTGAGAGCACGTGGTGCGGAGACAGCTTCTCGCCACGCCACTTGGTAGGAGCGACCGGTCAGGTAGGACGCAATCCAGGAGTGAGCCGCGCCGGAAATGCCCAGCTCGGAGAGGGTGGAGAGGAGGATCTGATGGTTCACAGTATCAAAGGCAGCAGACAGGTCTAGAAGGACAAGAGCAGAGGAGAGAGAGTTAGCTTTAGCAGTGCGGAGAGTCTCCGTGACACAGAGAAGAGCAGTCTCAGTTGAATGACCAGTCCTGAAACCTGATTGGTTTGGATCAAGAAGGTCATTCTGAGAGAGATAGCAAGAGAGTTGGCTAAAGACGGCACGCTCAATAGTTTTGGAAAGAAAAGAAAGAAGGGATACTGGTCTGTAGTTGTTGACATCAGTGGGGTCGAGTGTTGGTTTTTTGAGAAGGGGAGCAACTCTCGCTCTCTTGAAGACGGAAGGGACATGGCCAGCGGTCAAGGATGAGTTGATCAGCGAGGTGAGGTAGGGGAGAAGGTCACCGGAGATGGTCTGGAGAAGGGAGGAGGGGATGGGGTCAAGCGGGCAGGTTGTTGGGCGGCCTGCAGTCACAAGTCGCAGGATTTTATCTGGAGAGAGAGGGGAGAAAGAAGTCAAAGCATAGGGTAGGGCAGTGTGAGCAGGACCAGCAGTGTCATTAGACTTAACAAACGAGGATCGGATGTCGTCAACCTTCTTTTCAAAGTGGTTGACGAAGTCATCCACAGAGAGAGAGGAGGGGGGGGGGGGGGGGGGGGGGGGGGGGGGGGGATTCAGGAGGGAGGAAAATGTGGCAAAGAGCTTCCTAGGGTTAGAGGCAGATGCTTGGAATTTAGAGTGGTAGAAGGTGGCTTTAGCAGCAGAAACAGATGAAGAAAATGTAGAGAGGAGGGAGTGAAAAGATGCCAGGTCGGCAGGGAGTTTAGTTTTCTTCCATTTCCGCTCCGCTGCCCGGAGCTCTGTTCTGTGAGCTCGCAATGAGTCATCAAGCCACGGAGCTGGAGGGGAGGACCGAGCCGGCCGGGAGGATAGGGGACACAGAGAGTCAAAGGATGCAGAAAGGGAGGAGAGGAGGGTTGAGGAGGCAGAATCAGGAGATTGGAGGGAGAAGGATTGAGCAGAGGGAAGAGATGATAGGATGGAAGAGGAGAGAGTAGTGGGAGAGAGAGAGCGAAGGTTGCGGCGGCGCATTACCATCTGTGTAGGGGCAGAGTGAGTAGTGTGGGAGGAGAGCGAGAGAGAAAAGGAAACAAAGTAGTGGTCGGAGACATGGAGGGGAGTTGCAGTGAGATTAGTAGAGGAGCAGCATCTAGTGAAGATGAGGTCAAGCGTATTGCCTGCCTTGTGAGTAGGGGGGGACGGTGAGAGGGTGAGGTCAAAAGAGGAGAGGAGTGGAAAGAAGGAGGCAGAGAGAAATGAGTCAAATGTGGACATAGGGAGGTTGAAATCCCCCAAAACTGTGAGGGATGAGCCATCCTCAGGGAAGGAACTTATCAAGGCGTCAAGCTCATTGATGAACTCTCCAAGGGAACCTGGAGGGCGATAGATGACAAGGATATTAAGCTTAAATGGGCTAGTGACTGTGACAGCATGGAATTCAAATGAGGAGATAGACAGATGGGTTAGGGGAAACATTGAGAATGTCCACTTGGGAGAAATGAGGATTCCTGTGCCACCACCCCTCTGACCAGATGCTCTCGGGGTATGCGAGAACACATGGTCAGACGAGGAGAGAGCAGTAGGAGTAGCAGTGTTTTCAGTGGTGATCCATGTTTCCGTCAGCGCCAGGAAGTCGAGGGACTGGAGGTTGGCATAGGCTGGGATGAAGTCAGCTTTGTTGGCAGCAGAACGGCAGTTCCAGAGGCTGCCTGCGACCTGGAACTCCACGTGGGTGGTGCGTGCAGGGACCACCAGGTTAGAGAGGCAGCAGCCACGCGGTGTGGTGCGTTTGTGTAGCCTGTGCAGAGAGGAGAGAACAGGGATAGGCAGAGGCATAGTTGACAGGCTGTAGCAAATGGCTACAAAAATGCAGAGGAGATCGGAATGAAATGAGCTAAGCATCTGGGAGCGGAGAGAGCAGGGCCTCCCTCACCAAAAACTTCTACCTCAGAAACTAAAATTGTTTCACTGAACTACCCGAACAAAAACTCTCCCAACTTCCACCTTTAGAAATCAGAATTGTTGTGAACCACAGCGGTTCAATGTTTAAAGGAATAGACTCAACCCACTTTATTCAACTATGACACCATAGCTAACTAGCAAGCTAGCATCCAATAACAATAACACACCGTATAGCACCAACCCTTGGTCACAACAAACCACCAATAGTGTGATAACACACTAAACAGATCATTCGTGTCTGTGTCAAGTTCCTTTCATGACGCAGCAATGATTAGACGTTGGCTAGCTAGGACAAGTATATTGTATTTAGCTACTACCGTACAGTTAGCTGGTCGTGTTGGGTAGCTAGCAATGGCCATTTTGTTGACTTTGTTTGAAGAACGGCTAGCTAGCTAGCTTCGTGCTACACCCGGCACACAATGGCTATTGTGTTGACTCTGACTCTGTTCGAAAAAAAAAAACGGCTAGGTAGCTCGCTTCGTGCTACAGCCGGCACTGCCAAGACACAGTAACTACCCACAACAACCCACGATGCCTAGCTATGACGCCGTAGCTAACTTGCAAGCTAGCATCCATTAACACACAATTTAGCATCAATACTTGGTTACAACAAACTGCCAAGAGTGTGTTAGCACACTAAACAGATAATTCAAGTCCGTGTCTAGTTCCTTTCATAACGCATAACGCAGCAAAAATTAAACGATGGCTAGGACTACATTAACATTGGAAACAGCTCTCCAGCGTTGCTAATCGATACCAGTAGCTACCCGCTAGCTAGCTAGCCTCGTGCTTCGATACTAACCTACAATTACCTACGGAAACCTACAATAACAACAATACTAACCTATAATAAATACAATACCTAACTACAGCTAACTACCTACCTACGATCTAATACATGGTTAAGCTTTACTCAACACCATATGAGAAGCTTACCTCCTGCTTACCTCCAGCTAGAGAAAAACACGACCTCTCCCCATGAGAAACAAGATTCTCTGGTCTGATGAAACCAAGATTGAACTCTTTGGCCTGAATGCCAAGCGTCACGTCTGGAGGAAACCTGGTACCATCCCTAAGGTGAAGTATGGTGGTGGCAGCATAATGCTGTGGGGATGTTTTTCAGTGGCAGAAACTGGGAGACTAGTCAGGATCAAGGGAAAGATGAAAGGAGCAAAGTACAGCGAGATCCTTGATGAAAACCTTCTCCAGAGCGCTCAGGACCTCAGACTGGGGCGAAGGTTCACCTTCCAACAGGACAACGACCCTAAGCACACAGCCAAGATAATGCAGGAGTGGCTTCGGGACAAATCTCTGAATGTCCTTGAGTGGCCCAGCCAGAGCCCAGACTTGAACCCAATCAAACATCTCTGGAGAGACTTGAAAATAGCTGTGCAGCGACGCTCCCCATCCAACCTGACAGAGCTTGAGAAGATCTGCAGAGAAAAATGGGAGAAACTCCCCAAATACAAGTGTGCCAAACTTGTAGCGTCATATCCAAGAAGACTTGAGGCTGTAATCGCTGCCAAAGGTGCTTCAACAAAGTACTGAGTAAAGGGTCTGAATACTTAAGTAAATGTGATATTTCCGTTTTTTATTTGTAATAAATGTGCAAAAATGTCTAAAAACCTGTTTTTTGCTTTCTCATTATGGGGTATTGTGTGTAGATTGATGAGGGGAAAAAAACTATTAAAACATTTTAGAATAAGGCTGTAACATAACAAAATGTGAAAAAGTTAACGGATCTGAATACTTTCCGAATGCACTTTATCTCAGTAACGGGTGTTATTTATCTTTGTGTAGCATAAGGTTAATCAACCAATCAATGTACATGCAAAAACACAGATATTGAAACTATTATGAAAATCAACCTGCAATAGAGCATGCTGGGAAATATGATATTGATGGGCGTGGTTTTTAGTGTTTTACTCAACACAGCAACACAGAGTAAAAATGACACTCACACAACTCTAGTTATTAACAACAACACTATTGTTATTTTACACCACTGAGTGTTAAGTTAATTTAACTCCTGAATCAACACTAGAAATGTTACACTGAAAAATCAACACTAGGTACAACTGGCCAATTTGCTGTGTACCATACAGTACTCCATTCTATTATCCTACTCTCTGCTCTATGAAATCACAGTAAGTCGCTCTGGATAAGAGCGTCTGCTAAATGACTAAAATGTAAATGTAAAATGTAAAATACAAATTTCAAAGACAGAAATCATGGCAACGATATCAACTATGTCAGTACTGTATATGTGATTAAGGGAATACCAGATACATGCACAAATATTCCCATATTGGTACAGTTAAAAATATTCTCACAACTATCTTACTCAAACTCCTGATGTTACAGTTTAAACACTGAAGTAAACAATAACACACTATTTCAAATAGAGAAAAAAATATTACAATAAAAAAGCTTATTCAGATTCAGAAGGGTTCTATGCAGAACCCATCTTACCTTCCAAATAATCAATTTTGCCTTCCATACAATCGTCAAAGAGCCCTTTCTTCAAAAAACGGTTCTTCAGATAAAAACGGTTCTTAGTTTAACCTTATCCCTCCGCAAATAACCTTTTTTTTAACCCTTTCTTTCGAGCATCGAGGACCTGCAGTGAACAGTGTTTTCCCCCCAAAATAAAAATCCTGACATGAGGGGGCTCGAACCCACGGTTAATGTGCACTGTCATTCTAGAGTCAACCACTATTAACAACCATCATCATAGGAAACAGTTCTAAAGATAGTACATAACAGCTATTTGACAAGTCAATAGGCTCTTTGACTTTTTGTTGTTTTTACAATGTACAATAAACTTGTTGTACAGACCTTCTTTATCTTTTTTCTGTAAAAGCACATGGATGTGTGTGAAACGAATGAGCAAAAACATGGGATTTTGTCATATACAGTGGGGGAAAAAAGTATTTAGTCAGCCACCAATTGTGCAAGTTCTCCCACTTAAAAAGATGAGAGAGGTCTGTAATTTTCATCATAGGTACACGTCAACTATGACAGACAAATTGAGAAAAAAAAATCCAGAAAATCACATTATAGGATTTTAAATGAATTTATTTGCAAATTATGGTGGAAAATAAGTATTTGGTCACCTACAAACAAGCAAGATTTCTGGCTCTCACAGACCTGTAACTTCTTCTTTAAGAGGCTCCTCTGTCCTCCACTCGTTACCTGTATTAATGGCACCTGTTTGAACTTGTTATCAGTATAAAAGACACCTGTCCACAACCTCAAACAGTCACACTCCAAACTCCACTATGGCCAAGACCAAAGAGCTGTCAAAGGACACCAGAAACAAAATTGTAGACCTGCACCAGGCTGGGAAGACTGAATCTGCAATAGGTAAGCAGCTTGGTTTGAAGAAATCAACTTTGGGAGCAATTATTAGGAAATGGAAGACATACAAGACCACTGATAATCTCCCTCGATCTGGGGCTCCACGCAAGATCTCACCCCGTGGGGTCAAAATGATCACAAGAACGGTGAGCAAAAATCCCAGAACCACATGGGGGGACCTAGTGAATGACCTGCAGAGAGCTGGGACCAAAGTAACAAAGCCTACCATCAGTAACACACTACGCCGCCAGGGACTCAAATCCTGCAGTGCCAGACGTGTCCCCCTGCTTAAGCCAGTACATGTCCAGGCCCGTCTGAAGTTTGCTAGAGTGCATTTGGATGATCCAGAAGAGGATTGGGAGAATGTCATATGGTCAGATGAAACCAAAATATAACTTTTTGGTAAAAACTCAACTCGTCGTGTTTGGAGGACAAAGAATGCTGAGTTGCATCGAAAGAACACCATACCTACTGTGAAGCATGGGGGTGGAAACATCATGCTTTGGGGCTGTTTTTCTGCAAAGGGACCAGGACGACTGATCCGTGTAAAGGAAAGAATGAATGGGGCCATGTATTGTGAGATTTTGAGTGAAAACCTCCTTCCATCAGCAAGGGCATTGAAGATGAAACGTGGCTGGGTCTTTCAGCATGACAATGATCCCAAACACACCGCCCGGGCAACGAAGGAGTGGCTTCGTAAGAAGCATTTCAAGGTCCTGGAGTGGCCTAGCCAGTCTCCAGATCTCAACCCCATAGAAAATCTTTGGAGGGAGTTGAAAGTCTGTGTTGCCCAGCGACAGCCCCAAAACATCACTGCTCTAGAGGAGATCTGCATGGAGGAATGGGCCAAAATACCAGCAACAGTGTGTGAAAACCTTGTGAAGACTTACAGAAAACGTTTGACCTGTATCATTGCCAACAAAGGGTATATAACAAAGTATTGAGAAACTTTTGTTATTGACCAAATACTTATTTTCCACCATAATTTGCAAATAAATTCATTAAAAATCCTACAATGTGATTTTCTGGATAATTTTTTCTCATTTTGTCTGTCATAGTTGACGTGTACCTATGATGAAAATTACAGGCCTCTCTCATCTTTTTAAGTGGGAGAACTTGCACAATTGGTGGCTGACTAAATACTTTTTTACCCCACTGTACAATACCGGTCAAAAATTTTAGAACACCTACTCATTCAAGGGTTTTTCTTTATTTTACTATTTTTGTAGGATAATAGTGAAGACATCAAAACTATGAAATAACACATATGGAATCATGTAGTAACCAAAAAAGTATTCAAATAGTCACCCTTTGCCTTGATGACAGCTTTGCACACACTTAGCATTCTCTCAACCAGCTTAACCTGGAATGCTTTTCCAACAGTCTTGAAGGAGTTCCCACATATGCTGAGCACTTGATGGCTGCTTTTCCTTCACTCTGCGGTCCGACATATCCCAAACCATCTCAATTTGGTTGAGGTCGGGGGATTGTGGAGGCCAGGTCATCTGATGCAGCACTCCATCACTCTCCTTCTTGGTAAAATAGCCCTTACACAGCCTGGAGGTGTGTTGGGTCATTGTCCTGTTGAAAAACAAATGATAGTCCCACTAAGCCCAAACCAAATGGGATGGCATATTGCTGCAGAATGCTGTGGTAGCCATGCTGGTTAAGTGTGCCTTGAATTCTAAATAAATCACAGACAGTGTCACCAGCAAAGCACCCCCACACCATAACACCTCCTCCTCCATGCTTAACGGTGGGAACCACACTTGCGGAGATCATCCGTTCACCCACACGTGTCTCACAAAGACACGGCGGTTGGAACCAAAAATCTCCAATTTGGACTCCAGACCAAAGGACAAATTTCAACCGGACTAATGTCCATTGCTCGTGTTTCTTGGCCCAAGCAGGTCTCTTCTTATTATTGGTGTCCTTTAGTAGTGGTTTCTTTGCAGCAATTCGACCATGAAGGCCTGATTCACACAGTATCCTCTGAACAGTTGATGTTGAGATGTGTCTATTACTTGAACTCTGTGAAGCATTTATTTGGACTGCAATTTCTGAGGCTGGTAACTCTAATGAACTTATCCTCTGCAGCAGAGGTAACTCTGGGTCTTCCATTCCTGTGGCGGTCCTCATGACAGCCAGTTTCATCATAGCGCTTGATGGTTTTTGAGACTGCACTTGAAGAAACTTTGAAAGTTCTTGAAATGTTCCATATTGACTGACCTTCACGTCTTAAAATAATGGTGGACTGTCGTTTCTCTTTGCTTATTTGAGCTGTTGTTGCCATAATATGGACTTGGTCTTTAACCAAATAGGGCTATCTTCTGTATAACCCCCCTACCTTGTCACAACACAACTGATTGGCTCAAACGCATTAAGAAGGAAAGAAATTCCACAAATTAACTTTTAAGAATGCACACCTGTTAATTGAAATGCATTCCAGGTGACTACCTCATGAAGCTGGTTGAGAGAATGCTAAGTGTGTGCAAAGCTGTCATCAAGGCAAAGGGTGAATATTTGAATACTTTTTTGGTTACTACATGATTCCATATGTGTTATTTCATAGTTTTGATGTCTTCACTATTATTCTACAATGTAGAAAATAGTTTTAAAAAAAGAAGAAAAATCCTTGAATGAGTAGGTGTTCTAAAACCTTTGACCGGTAGTGTATGTGTAAACTTTAAATGTTATCTAATGTTAGTAGCTAGTAGCCTAGTCAAGGATACATCATCATGCAATATTGGCACTCTACACTTGAGACATACCAAGCGGAACAAATATAAACCTTGAAATTGGAGGTTTAAAATATCCCTCCAAGTTGATCTATTTTAAGAAAAGCAATTGGTTGGTGAATATAAAGTCCAATATCTTTGATCGGCTGATGCAGAATTTGTTACAGGTAATAATCACTGTCAGCTGGTGAGGTTAGTAGGGCTAACGTGTGCCAGGTTATCTGATGGGACCAGCTACAATGCAGCGTTCTATCACGTGCAACTATGTCGACGATTGTAATTGGCTGATGCGCATTTTGAGACGGAGGTTCAGGTTAAACGTATGCTTATTCTAATGTTCGCAAGTAAAGACCCGCGCTGTTCACACGTCAGCCTGTCCATCACGTGTGCCCTTGTTTATTTTGGTGCCTAAGCAGCACCGTGGTCTTGTGAGAGGAAACATAGCCTGTGCTAGAGGTTACATTCAGCAATTTATTTTGAAGAAGAAACCCCTGTGTTCTGTGGGGACTGGGGTCTGTTTTGGATTGTACATTTGTGTGATGGGGGGGGGGGGGGGGAGATTCATAGGGATCCTGTTTGTTGCTGTGTTGGCTGCCAGGAAGGTGGGTGAGGAGAGGAGAGGAGGGAGAGGGAAAGCGAGCACACACACACACACTGGTGGTAAACACTGGGTGACCTCTCTCTCTCCCTCCATCAGGCAGCCACTCAGCTAACACGTTGCCTTATTAGGGTTGTCTACTGGGAGTGGAGGGAGGCAGGTGGACTGGGGAGGGGCAAGGGTGAGGCAGAGTTAAACATGTAAACATTGCCGTCTAAGCCCACGCGGTGCAATTTAAGAGAGACAAATCATGTTGTCTTTATAAATGCAAAGCATTGACAATATCCAAAAAGACAGTGACAGTGTTATGTTCGGGGTGTGTGTGTGTGTGTCAGTGTCTGTGTGTTGCTACACTTTGGTTCTGCTTTTTTCAGGAACAGAGATTGCGTCTCAAATGGCACCCTATTCCCTATGTAGTGCACTACTTTTGACCAGGGCCCTATGGGGAATATACAGTATATAGTCTCTATACACTGAGTGTACAAAACATTAGGAGCACCTTCCTAATATTGAGTTGCACCCCCTTTTGCCCTCAGAACAGCCTCAATTCATCGGGCATGGACTCTACAAGGTGTCGAAAGCGTTCCACAGGGATGCTGGCCCATGTTGACTCCAATGCTTCCCACAGTGTCAATTTGGCTGGATGTCCTTTGGGTGTGGTGGACTATTCTTGATGCACGGGATACTGTTGAGCATTAAAAACCCAGCAGCGTTGCAGTTCTTGACACACTCAAACCTGTGCGCCTGGCACCCACTACCACCTACTACCAAAGGTAATTAAATATTTTGTCTTGCCCATTCACCCTCTGAATGGCACACGTACACAACCCATGTCTCAATTGCCTCAATCCTTCATTAACCTGTCTCCTCCCCTTCATCTAGCACTAACTAGCTTTCATCTGGGTTTACCTGGTCAGTCTATGTCATGGAAATGTTTTGTACACTCCCTTTATAGGGAATAGGGTGGCATTTTGGATACATCCCTACTGTTTGGTACTGCTGCCCATGTCTGCGTGTAAGTTATGGTATTAGTAGTCGACACCCCAGATTATAACTGCTTTGGAAACAGACAGTAGATATTGCCAAAGCAGTATATTGGTACAGCATTGCAGTAAATACAGTACAATGCAATGAGGATAATGAAATACAGTTAATTTCAGTAGTAATAATAACAGTACATATAGTCATGTATGCAGGTACAACACTATTGCTGTTGTATTGTGTAATGTTCGGTCGATACATTTAATTAAAGAAAAATAAGATTATAAAAAGAAAAAGAAAGAATGGCTAATAAATACACAAAATGTACATGGATGATGGTTACACTATGTATTACTTGTAAGTTACTGTAGATACAATGTAAATACTTCAGGGAATTAATGGTCATGGGATTTCCCTCAGGCTATGGCATATCTGGCAGTAATATTTGCGGTTTCTCTCTCACCCAGAATAATTCACAGTTTTAGGTCATTAGTAAATGCACAGAAGTTGGGAATTGATTTAGATATCTTTAAAACGATGATCTTATTTGGGAGTATTTCTCACAGTAGAGGAAAAAGTGCATCTCTGTCTCTACCTCCACTGTCATGCAGTAACCACATAGACGCTTCTCTTTGGGTAGCCATGTTTTTTTGTGTTTCTATAGCCAATTGCTGGTCCCTGAGCCTGTATTTGGTCAGGCTCTGTCTCTGTTTTGTATCTCTGTCAGAGTAGAGATATTCTGCCAATTTATATTATCTTTTGAGGGCCAAATAGCATTTTAGTTTATTCTATGTTTTTTTTTGTAAAATAGGAGGTTTTCATTTCTGCAACAATTTGATTGATTTCTCTGTGTGTTTGGATAATAGGGTTGTTTAGTGTTTTTAACAGCGGATTTAGGAGACTATTGTCAGGGTTCAGCTCTTGGGTTTCCAGTGCTTTGAATTGTAAGGATGTTTTGGGGCTTAATTTCAAATGGTGCCAACATTTTTGTGTTGTTTTCTTTATATGGACAATTAAAGGTACATATAAAGAGTTCAATTAAAGGTACATATAAAGAGTTCCGCTCTGCATGCATTATTTGGTACTTTCTTTGGGATATTTAGGATATATCTGCAGAATTCTGTATGTAGATTTTCTATTGGGTGTTTCTCCTAATGCTTATAATCGTAATTACAGATTGGACCCCAAACCTCTCTTCCATACAGTGCAATTGGTAAAATTACACTATTTAATATTTTGCACCGGATTTGGATAGGAATATTGATTTTTGAGAATTTTATTTTTATGGAGTAAGATGCTTTACAGGCTTTTTCTTTTAGTGCATTCACTGCCAGACCAAATCCACCAGAGACACTGATTTTTTTGGTCCCAGGTAGTTGTACCATTGGGCATGTTCAACCATGGTATTTCCTAATTTGAATGAGTGTCTGCTGCTCTGATTCCTGGCCTTTTTCTGGAAAATCACGACTTTGGTTTTCTGAAGTTGATGTTGATTGCCCAGTTAATGCTGTATTCCCAAAGAATGTTAAGTTGTTCCTGTAGATCTTGCTCTGTTGGTGACAGTAGGACAAAGTAATCTGCGTAGAGCAGGAATCTGACCTCATCTTTGAGGGTCAGTCCAGAGGCTGCAGATCGGTCCAGCAACACTGCTAGTTCGTTGATGTAGACGTTGAACAGGGTTGGACTTAAACTGCACCCTTGACTCACCCCCGCCCTATTTTATTGTTCAGTTTAATACTACATGTGTTGTTCGAGTATATCGATTTCATGATGTCGTATACTTTGCCCCAATCGCCGCTATGGAGGGTTTTGTAATATACTGAACAAAAATATAAATGCAACATGTAAAGTGTTGGTCCCATGTTTCATGAGCTGTAATATAAGATCCCAGAATTTGTCCATACGCGCAAAAAGCTTATTTATCTCAAATGTTGTGCACAAATGTGTTTACATCCCTGTTAGTGAGCATTTCTCCTTTGCCAAGATAATCCATCCCCCTGACAGGTGTGGCATATCAAAAAGCTGATTAAACAGCATGATCATTACAAAGGTGCACCTTGTGCTGGGGACAATTAAAGGCCTCACTAAAATGTGCAGTTTTGTCACACAACACAATACCACAGATGTTTTGAGGAAGTGTGCAATTGGCATGCTGATTGCAGGAATGTCCACCAGAGCTGTTGCCAGAGAATGTAATGTTTGTTTCTCTACCATAAGCCGCCTCCAATGTCATTTTAGAGAATTTGGACGTACGTCCAACCGGCCTCACAACCGCAGAAAAAAGTGTAATTACGCCAGCCCAGGACCTCCACATCCGGCTTCTTCACCTGTGGGATCGTCTGTGGGGGTGCTGAAGCGTATTTCTGTCTGTAATAAAGCCCTTTTGTGGGGAAAATGAATTCTGTTTGGCAGGGCCTGGCTCCTCAGTGGGTGGGCCTGGCTCCCAAGTGGGAGGGCCTATGCCCTACCAGGCCCACCCTTGGCTGCGCCCTTGCCCAATCATGTGAAATCCATAGATTATGGCGGCCTAATTTATTTATACAGTAAAATCTTTGAAATTGATGCATGTTGCCTTTATATTTTTGTTCAGTATATAATCATATATATATATATATATATATATATATATATATATATATATATATATATATATATATATATACACACTACCATTCAAAAGTTTGGGGTCACTTAGAAATGTCCTTGTTTTCCATGAAAACATACATGAAATGAGTTTGAATAGGAAATATAGCAAAATGCATAGGAAATGTAGTCATTGACAAGGTTAGAAATAATGATCTTTAAATGAAATAATAATTGTGTCCTTCAAACGTTGCTTTCGTCAAAGAATCCTCAATTTGCAGCAATTACAGCGTTGCAGACCTTTGGCGTTCTAGTTGTCAATTTGTTGAGGTAATCTAAAGAGATTGCACCCCATGCTTCCTGAAGCACCTCCCACAAGTTGGATTGGCTTGATGGGCACTTCTTACGTACCATACGGTCAAGCTGCTCCCACAACAGCTCAATAGGGTTAAGATCCGGTGACAGTGCTGGCCAATCCATTATAGACAGAATACCACCTGACTGCTTCTTCCCTAAATAGTTATTGCATAGTTTGGAGATGTGCTTTGGGTCATTGTCCTGTTGTAGGAGGAAATTGGCTCCAATCAAGCGCCGTCCACAGGGTATGGCATGGCGTTGCAAAATGGAGTGATAGCCTTCCTTCTTCAAGATCCCTTTTACCCTATACAAAGCTCCCACTTTACCACCCCCAAAGAACCCTCAGACCATCACATTGCCTCCACCATGCTTGACAGATGGCATCAAGCACTCCTCCAGCATCTTTTCATTTGTTCTGCGTCTCACAAATGTTCTTCTTTGTGATCCGAACACCTCAAGCTTCGAATCGTCTGTCCATAACACTTTTACGGGGCCTCTCACTCCTCTTTCTATTCTGGTTAGAGCCAGTTTGAGCTGTTCTGTGAAGGGAGTAGTACACAGCGTTGTACGAGATCTTCAGTTTCTTGGCAATTTCTCGCATGGAATAGCCTTCATTTCTCAGAACAAGAATAGACTGACGAGTTTCAGAAGAAAGTTATTTGTTTCTGGCCATTTTGAGCCTGTAATCAAACCCACAATTGCTGATGCTCCAGACACTCAACTAGTCTCAAGAAGGCCAGTTTTATTGCTTCTTTAATCAGCACAACAGTTTTCAGCTGTGCTAACATAATTGCAAAAGGGTTTTCTAATGATCAATTAGCCTTTTAAAATGATAAACTTGGATTAGCAAACACAACGTGCCACTAGAACACAGAACTGATGGTTGCTGATAATGGACCTCTGAACGCCTATGTAGATATTCCATTAAAAATCATGCGTTTCCAGCTACAATAGCCATTTACAACATTAACAATGTCTACACTGTATTTCTGATCAGTTTGTTGTTATTTTAATGGACAAGAAAATAGATTTTCTTTTGAAAACAAGGACATTTCTAAGTGACCCCAAACATTTGAATTGTAATATATATATATATATATATAATAATCATGCCTTGTGGAATCAAAAGCATTCTTAAAATCAACAAAACATGTAAATACTTTTCCGCTGCTTTTCTGATGAGTAAGCTGGTTTACTAGTGTGTGTAATTTGTGTATGTGGTCTGTTGTTCTGTGTTTGGGTTAGAACACTAATTCATTTTTTGCTGAGAGCGTTATGTTGTGTGAGAAAGGTCTGTATTCAGTCATTGAGAATACAGCAGAATAGTTTCCTCATGTTACTGGTGATACATATTCCTCTATAGTTATTAGGGTCTAATTTGTCACCTTTTTTATATTTGGGGGTTATTACCCCCTTGTTCCAAAAATCAGGGAAGCAGCCACTCTCCAAAACCAGGTTGAATAAGTATTAATTTGACATCCTGCAGCTCAGGAGTACTATGTTGAAGCATTTCATTCCTGATGCTGTCAGGGCGCATGCCTTCCAGGTTTAAGGCTTTGTATTGTCTTCGAAAGTTCAGCCTGTGTAATTTGGTATTGGTAGTCAATTGGGTTCTGGTTATTTTTAATTGTGTGTTCTAGGGAGCTTTTTCTTGCACATTTTAAAGTAAGGTCTTCTGATGGTAATATTCCATAGAGACTTTCAAAATGATCTTTCCAAATGTTGCCATTTTGAATGGCTAGGTCATTTCTCTGTTTTCCATTTAGACCATTCCATTTCTCCCAGAACTGGTTTTATCAATGGAGTCTTCAATCTCTTTCAGAGTGTTCCCAAAATGCTTCTGTTTCTTACATCTTAGGTTTTGTTTGTATTCTTTCAATGTGTCACAATATTGTTGCCAAACATCCCTATCCTGTGGTTGGTGATGTTATCTACTTGATAAAGATCTACATTTTTTCCTTATGAGATTACATTCCACATCAAAAGCATTTCTCTTTTTGAGGTTTCCAATTAGAACTGTTTTTTCTTTTGCATAAATATGCAAGATAGATATAATGTAATTTATTCACAGCCAAATGTATTTCACTAACTCCTTTCCATTTTTGTTCACTACCTGGTCAGAGCTATTTCTATTACTACTGATGGAAATCAGGTATAAGGAGGGATGTCCAAATATACAGTATGTCTATTACCCGTTTCTACACATTCAGGTTCAGAACCTGTTCTAGCATTAAAATCCCCCCACAAAAGTACATTTCCCTCAGATTGAAACTGGTTGGTCTCTCTTTGGAGATTATCATAAAACTGATCATCATAGTAAGATGAATCTGAGGGAGAAGCATACACCACACCTATATATAAATCATTGTCACTAAGGATTTTGCCTTTGTTGAGTTTTAACCAAATATGGGTTTTACCCTTTTTCATTTGGCTCAGTGAAAGGTCCTGGTTATACCATATGATCATTCCTCCCGAGACCCTGCCCTGTTTTATGTTTTTATGTTTTCAAAATGGAAGTGTAAGTCGCTCTGGATAAGAGCGTCTGCTAAATGACTAAAATGTAAAATGTAAAAAATGTAAGTGGAATTTCTCTATAGCCTGAAGGACATTGAGTATCACCACTTCACCATTTTTCTAGAAGTATTATTATGTCTTGACCTTTGGTGTTGTCAAGACCTAAGGTAGAGGACTACAAGCCCTGGATATTCCAATAACTTATAGTTAATGATCTCATTTCATATAAGTATATACATCTAATTACATATAATTTGGTTAGAGTAAAGTACATAGGAAATTAATACACAAGCAAATATAGAACAGGAAAATTAAAACGTGTGTGTGTGTGTGAGAAAAACAAAAACATAATAAATACAAGTGTGGGTGTAATAATAATAATAATAATAATAATAATAAAAGGTTATCTCTCTCTCCCTGCTCTCTCTCCCTGCTCTATCTGTCTCTCTCTCTGCCTCTCTCTCTCTCTCTCTCTCTCTCTCTCTCTCTCTCTCTCTCTCTCTCAAACACACACCATCTCTTTCCCTCCATACTCTCTCTGCCTCTCTCTCTGCCCCTTCTCTCTTCTGCTTTCCCTATAGTCTTACTCAATTTGTGATGACTTAGACAAGTGGTATTTCTCTATCTCTCTCTCACGCTCACGCGCGCTCTCTCTCTCACACACTATCTCTTTCCCTCCATGCTCTCTCTCCTCTCTCCTCTCGCTCTCTCTCTCTCACACACACTATCTCTTTCCCTCCATGCTCTCTCTGCCTCTCTCTCTCTTCCCCTTCTCTCTTCTGCTTTCCCTATAGTCTTACTCAATTTGTGATGACTTAGACAAGTGGTATTTCTTGCCCATTATTGGACATTGTGTCTGAACTATTTCACTATTGTGCTGCACTATTGAAACCTGTCCAGGTTTCTAACAAGTCTATGCCAGTGTGTGTGTGCATGTGTGAGTGGGTGTGGTTGTCTGTGTGTGTGTGCGCTTGCATCTCTTTCCTGCTCCACTCCTCAGTCCTCCTGGCACCGTCCTCCAATCCATTTTCATCGTTTTTATCATCAGGGCTAATTTCTGTCTGTAATCTGATTAGGGGCTCTGAGCAGCTTTAGCACCCTGCCTGCAGCCTCTCTCTCTCTCTCTCTCTCTCTCTCTCTCTCTCTCTCTCTCTCTCTCTCTCTCTCTCTCTCTCTCTCTCTCTCTCTCTCTCTCTCTCTCTCTCTCTCTCTCTCTCTCTCTCTCTTTGCACTGAGCTCCCTGGCTGAGCTCACTCACCACACACACACACACAGAGTCTGTTTGTCTTTCAGGTTGCTGGCCTGAGCTGGGGATCCACTCAGTGTGGTCAGGCCTTAATGCTATTTGCCTCGATGTTTGTCTGTGTAGTACCTCACTGTCACAGTCTGTCAGTCTGTCTGCATCACTGCTGCTGTGACTGTCTGTGAACACCGCTAGCTGCGGGACAACCCGAGCCTGTCAGCAGCGTATGTTCTGTCCGTCTTCAGCCTCCCTACAAACATGTTCCGGAACCCATGGATCACTAATTATCTGTGCCATGTCAAATACGGTGTCGGTGGGCAAGGTAAGGGCAAGGAGGAGGAGGGGACTCTGGAGTGTGTGTGGTGTGTGTGTATGTGTATGTGGTAGGCTTTGACTTAGTAGTTAGCACTTATTGTCCATTCATAGTAAAGAACTGTCCTTGTGTTGTGCAGTGAGTGAGAGATTCCAAGGACATGAGTTACTTTGATTCGGTGCATGCTCTGTTAGGGACTCGACTGGCTTTGACTGTGTGTGTGTGCATGCGTGTGTGCATGTGTGGGTATGTGTGTGTGTGTGCGTGCATGGGTATGTGTGTGTGTGTGTGTATGTATGTGCGTGTGTGTGTGCGCACGCGCGTGTGTGTGTGTGTGCAAGGGCTGCTACAGCTGCAGTAGCCCCATTGAATAATGAATCAAGTATCCATTTGTCCATGTGGACTGAAGAAGTGTACCTGTTGCTGTTTCTTTGTTACTTTCTTCTCATCTGATAAAAACTTCCCAAGTAGTCAACAGGTGCTTTATCCTTGGTACATCATTACTGTATTGCTGCAAACCATTATACCCCCCCTTGCTGCAAACCATTATACCCCCCTCATCCATGCACTTCAGGCTTGTATGTATCAAGCGTCTCAGAGTAGGAGTGCTGATCCATTTAGATTTATGCTAGGATCTGTTAGGTCTTTTAGATTATAATGAATGGAGAGGGGGGACCTGATCGTAGATCAGCACTCCTACTCTGAGACCCTTTATGAATACGTGACCCTGATATCAGACTATGAAGGCTGATAGAGAGGGTGGTTTCCATGACTTTAACTGAGGATGGACACATTCTCTCAAGTCTATTCGCTCCTGTGATGCCCGCCTGCCTTGAGACGAGACGAGGGGCAGTTTGTTTAACAGGGTCTATTTTTCAGCTTGTCCTTTCCTCTGTGTATTAATAGAAAACCCCTTTCTTCACTGAGCTCACTTTTGAAAGTCAGTCTCCTAAGCTCGTCTTTGGCATGTCCTTTTCGCTCGGCTGCCCACGAACCAACTGGACATTGTCATGGGTGGGCGACTGACCTGTCTCTGATTAAGATGACCTGATTGGCACATTCGCTCTCAGGCCACCACCCATGACAACACCAGGGGACACTATTTGGCATGACAGCCTTTTGGTGGCCTGTCATGCCAAATAATGTCCCCCTGCCAAAAAGTGTCCCCCCTCGCGTCACATTGGGATTCGATAAGCCATTAGTGTCCGTTGCTATATCAATGGTGTGATTTTGGAGATCATTACAGCCTAAATGACGTTCTTTTCATCCCCACTATGTAAACAAAGCTGATTTCCACTACAATTTCGTTGTTTAAAGAAGTTTTGTTTATCTCATGAGATGAAAACAGTACTTCAAACTAGAGGAGCCTTGTCCCGTAACATGACCTGCCTCCTATACTGGGGAGAAACTTTACAACAGGGTCATGTTTCTGCCTGCCTGGGGTAGAGGGAGGGTCAACCATGCTATGGGCTATCTACCTACCCAGAACTGGATGAGAGCTGGTTTTCCCATTTTACCTTTGGGATGACAGTGGAAGTTGATAAAAACGCTTCTTCATGGACCTTGGTTGGAGAGCAAGGTAGCAGCAGTGTTATTAGATATTTCATTGAAAACGCAGTTGTTTCGCTCTCATTTTCCAATGGTTATTGATTGATATTGAAGGAGTGAATGCCTTATTTAGGCTGGAGTCTAGAGTTAGTGACTGTAGCAGGCAAGTGCTGGTTGTCTACAATGTGTAATTCCATCATGTTTCCATTTAGATTATGATGATGACATAATATGATTTTTTGTCAGATTGCAGTGGAAGATTGAGTCATTGTAAAACATGGTGGAGTCCTGTTTTGGTCCACTATGACACATTCTTGATATGTCTTTGTAATATTTATGTAATCAGTCCTTTTTTATCAGGTAATTCATTTGGAGAGTTTCACCACACTGTTTCACCACACTGTGTGACAGGAACAATCAAACCAATTAACTTACACAGAAGTAGGACATATTTTTCTTACATATTTTCTCTCTCTGTTTCTCCAGGCTTTGGAACTGAGGCTCCAGTCAAACTCTGCACTTCAACCTCACTGCCAACAGAAGCTCTAAGGTGGGGGAAGCCATTTTGTGTGCAGTTCTCGCGTGTCATATTCTAACATATACAGTAGACCCATTTCACACATTGCACGCACAATTATGCGTCAGAAAGAGTATTTTTTATCAAAGAAAGTGATTGAGCCAACATTAAACTTCAGATGTAAGTCAACAAATGTAAGATAATTTGATTAGGTTGTTATTGCAAACATTACATATTGTAATCCTGAAGAACATGCAATCGGCCCCATGTTGTTATACAGTTGAAGTCGGAAGTTTACTACACCTTAGCCAAATACATTTAAACTTTGTTTTTCACAATTCCTGACATTTAATCCTAGTAAAAATTCCCTGTCTTAGGTCAGTTAGGATCACCACTTTATTTTAAGAATGTGAAATGTCAGAATAATAGTAGAGAGAATTATTTATTTCAGCTTTTAATTCTTTCATCACATTCCCAGTGGGTCAGAAGTTTACATACACTCAATTAGTATTTGGTAGCATTGTCTTTAAATTGTTTAACTTGGGTCAAACGTTTCGGGTAGCCTTCCACAAGCTTCCCACAATAAGTTGGGTGAATCTTTGCCCATTCCTCCTGACAGAGCTTGTGTAACTGAGTCAGGTTTGTAGGCCTCCTTGCTCGCACACGCTTTTTCAGTTCTGCCCTCACCTTTTCTATAGGATTGAGGTCAGGGCTTTGTGATGGCCACTCCAATACCTTGACTTTGTTGTCCTTAAGCCATTTTGCCACAACTTTGGAAGTATGCTTGGGGTCATTGTCCATTTCGAAGACCCATTTGCGACCAAGCTTTAACTTCCTGACTGATGTCTTGAGATGTTGCTTCAATATATCCACATAATTTTCCTTCCTCATGAGGCTGCAACCCCCGTGCTTCAAAGTTGGGATGGTGTTCTTCGGCTTGCAAGGCACCCCCTTTTTCCTCCGAACATAACGATGGTCATTATGGCCAAACAGTTCTATTTTTGTTTCATCAGACCAGAGGACATTTCTCCAAAAAGTATGATCTTTGTCCCCATGTGCAGTTGCAAACCGTAGTCTGGCTTTTTTATGGAGGTTTTGGAACAGTGCTTCTTCCTTGCTGAGCAGCCTTTCAGGTTTCGTTTTACTGTGGATATAGATACTTTTGTACCTGTTTCCTCCAGCATCTTCACAAGGTCCTTTGCTGTTGTTCTGGTATTGATTTGCACTTTTCGCACCGAAGTACGTTCATCTCTAGGAGACAGAACGCGTCTCCTTCCTGAGCGGTATGACGGCTGCGCGTTCCCATGGTGTTTATACTTGCGTACTATTGTTTGTACAGATGAACATGGTACCTTCAGGTGTATGGAAATTGCTCCCAAGGATGAACCAGACTTGTGGAGGTCTACAATTATTTTTCTGAGGTCTTGGCTGATTTCTTTTGATTTTCCCATGATGTCCAGCAAAGAGGCACTGAATTTGAAGGTACACCTTGAAATACATCCACAGGTACACCTCCAATTGACTCAAATGATGTCAATTAGCCTATCAGAAGCTTCTAAAGCCATGACATCATTTTCTGGAATTTTTCAAGCTGTTTAAAAGGCACAGTCAACTTAATGTATGTAAACTTCTGACCCACTGGAATTGTGATACAATCAATTATAAGTGAAATAATCTGTCTGTAAACAATTGTTGGAAAAATTACTTGTGTCATGCATAAAGTAGATGTCCTAACCGACTTGCCAAAACTATAGTTTGTTAACAAGAAATTTGTGGAGTGGTTGAAAAATAAGTTTTAATGACTCCAACCTAAGTGCATGTAAACTTCCGACTTCAACTGTATCTCATACATCATCAAGATAGGGATAGTTAAGGATAAGGGTAGGTTCTTCAGACTGGTTTAAGACTCATCTTGCCCAGTAAGCATTAAAAGCTGGACATGCTTGGAGCAGCTTATCCTAAGATGCTTTGTTCAAATGGCAGAACAGAAGAACTGTAATACCTCCATTAGGATTGAATTGTCTCCCCTATTCACTAGTCTCTACCTTCCTATCCTGATGGAATTAGTGTACTTCTGTAACTGACAGCTCCTTTGCTGTATCCATTCAATGCTAGTCTATGTCAAGATTCTCCACCCTTTTCCCAAAGTGTGCACTTGCAAACTTCCTGAAATGGATTTAACAATGTTAAACATTCTTTCTAACCAATGCTCACACCAATCTAATGTTATTAAATATATCATACTAAAGCAGTCGAACGTAGCATATCATACTAAAGCAGTCGAACGTAATATATCATACTTACGCAGTCGAACATAATATATCATACTAAACGGGTCAAAGCAAACTGTCAAGACGTAGGATACTATACGTCCTACAATTCCTATTATATTGTACGACCGCTATTACATTGGTAGGCAAATGTAATGTAACGCAACGTAAAGTAACATATCATAATAAATGGAATGGCACAGATTTTAGTAAAATATAATACGTTTTGCTCTGAGGCCAGGTTGGGGTGGAGAATCAGAGATACTATAAGTAGAGATACTATAATTCATTTAATTTGTTAATTATAGGATTTCTATGGTCATGTGGTCATTCAGTAATGTTTCATAGAGTTGTACTGTTTCACATCGGACCATTGTGAGATCTTTTGATTGACAAGTAAGAGGGTCAGAATGTTCCATTGTGACAGCAGAGATGTTTAGAAGATACTTGCCTGGCTTTGTGTCCTTTTGATTGCTCTGGATAAAGCCACTAGGACATGATCCTGACAGTTTCCTGGAGGTGTGCCATGTTAGGGTTAGGGGTTAACCTAGTTCTTAGCTAGATCCCTCTTCCCTCACGGAAGTGGAAGCACAGTACAAAATTACCTAAACTGACCCTGGGGACTGACAGTATGTGTATCCCTTTAAAGGCAGTGAATACAGTAATAGTAGTAGACACGACTGTGCCTTCACAATCTTAAAATGGTTTATTAGAATCACCAACTTAGTGGCCTTGTGGTTAGAGTGTCAGCTCTGAGATTTGGAGGTTCGATCCCAGTTCGAGTCATACCAAAGACTCTAAAAATGGAACCCTATGCTTGGCACTCAGTGTTAAGGAGATGGATTGGGGGCCTGCGATAGACTAGTGTGCTGTCCAGGGGGTGTGCTTGTACATCAAGCTACAGAAACATGAGATATTATAATTTCTTTAGCCATTTGATGTCCATATGTCCAATATGTGAGATGATATATCCAGTATGAATTTGTTGGCACCTCACTGAAGACTGGTATACAACTTATATACAGTACATCTTGAATAGCAAGTCTCATGATAAGATGCTAGATTCATTTGAACTCTTTTACTTTCAGCTTTCAGAACGACTTTTCCTTCAGGGACAAGACCGAGCTGGTCAAGAGTGCTACTGATATCGATGCCAATCTTCTGGCAGTACTACCCAAGGGTGAGCTGCTTCCCAAACACAGACTGCGTCCCAAATGGCACCCTATTCTCTATACAGGGGATTTGGGACGCACACCTAGTTATTGCGATAGGAATAATGAACTGACTAACTAACAGATTGCTGTCATGCCATGTTTTGTAATTTTTTATATCTATTTTTTTTCCCAGTTTCAGAATTAAAGAAACATTTTGAAAGCGTTGTCTCGAGTGGTTTGGAAATGAACAGGTATGTTTGCATATGTCGAAATCATAACCCTTGACAACCCTCCCTCTGTCCCTCCTTTCCATACATCCTTCAATTTCTCATCAACTCTCGTAGTTACCTCAGACCGTTTCATGTTGATACTGTGTAGGGCTGCAAAATTCCGGTAAATTTCCCAACATTCCCAGGTTTTCCTTGAAAATCCTGGTTTGAGAATTCCGGATGTCTTGCTTATTTCATTCTAATTCTGGGAATGTTCCAACTGGGATTTTTGGAAAACCTGGAATTTTGTAACCCTCTCCTGTATAAACAGGAGTCACTGTTGAGGACCTCTTTCCTGAGGAATGTGGTTGTTTTTCATGATTATGTTATATTTTTCTGGTGTATTTCCTATGCTCCTATGCTGCCTTGATTGTGTAATTGTCATGTAACTGTTGAGATATGATAATACAGTCATCTCTATACCCCCCCCCCCCCCCCTGTCTGTCTGTCTCTGCCTGGTATGAAGCAGGAAGGAAAGGATATCCAGGCGTCTGGAGGGTATAGAGAGTGAGGTTCCTCTTGCCCTGATACCTAGCTGTGCCGGCCTGGTGGCCAACCGTATGCTGGAGGAGGACCCGCCACGATACACCCGGGTCTCAGACCCCTGTGAGCCAACCATGGGTACGCATACTGACCACACAAGGCAATGTAAGCCCTGTATGAAACATATACTGTAGACTTGACTTACTGTACTTGTATGCTAGTGAGGGGGAATGCATATGACACCTAGACCCTTATTCAGAGCATGGGTTGTTAGGTTCTGATTATATTTGGATGGAGAAAGGTTATATTTGGGAGAGAGGCATGGTAGGCCTGCCTGTATGTTTAACTGTGTGTCTGGGTTTCTCCTGGTTCCACAGTGAGACCATGCCATGTTTGAGACATTGTTGTGTTCATATGATTTAGGCTACGTCCCAAATGGCACCCTGTTCCTTATATAGTAGTGCCTATGCGGGTCTGGTCAAAATGTGTATGCTATAAAGGGAATTGGGTTCCATTTGGGACACATCCTTACTGTGTGCTTATCTCCCTCCTGGTTCCACAGTGAGTCGTTACAGCAGAGAGCAGATGGAGGTCCCACAGATGCCGGTGTCCTCCCCAGACAGACAGTCTAGGGCCCGGGGCAGACCGGGGGACCATCCTGGTCCGGCCGCCCACCCCCATGCAGAGCCTGCCCTATCCCCTTCCGGTGGCCCAGTGGATCCAGCCAGCCTCAGTTCCAAGGCAGAGCGGATCGCCCGCTACAAAGCCGAGCGCCGGCGCCAGCTCTCCGAGCGTTACGGCATCCTCTTGGATCAGGAGATAGACATGGACTACAGTCCTCGCTACTTGTGCTCACGTAGAGAGTCTGACGTCTCGGATAGAGGGGCCCCAGCAGTCACAGAGCGTAGGAGAGACAGAGATAGAGAAAGACAAGAGGTGGAGGAGGGAGGAGGAGTAGGGCGGGAGAGTTCCCGCAGAACTCCCTACAGCTCTGGAGTGGGCAGGGTCTACATGCAGGCTCACCCTGCTGAGCCTACTCCTGGACACGCTCCTGCCCCAGGTCATGGTCCAGCCCATGCAGGCCTTACCCATACTCAAGCCCCTCCGCCCACCTGGGAGAGGGCCGGCACCTTCTCAGAGCAGGAGAGGATGATGAACCTGGAGAACCACCGGCGGGCCCAGGAGAGGACGATGACAGGGGGCCTCAGAGGAGCCAGCAACAGGCCCCAGGATCATGCCCATGACCCATCCATCCAGCAGCTCAGCCATCCTCCATCCAGGGCCTCCTCCAGAGAATCCTACAGCGTGGCGGCCATCCCCAGCTCCCCTCGTACGGCCCGCCGGGCCTCCCTGCCCTCTACACGCTACGGAATCTCCCCCGGGGACCTGTTCATCGAGCAGCAGGCTCAGGCCATCCTCGGCAGACAGGGGTGAGTTCAGATCAGCTTTGCTGTCATAATGCACTCTGTCTCCAATTAGTTTGATCTCTGTACTCAGGTTGTTTTTAGTATGAAATAGTTTCAAACGTAGTTTATGCACATCCAATGACTTGCAGGTGCTGGGTACAAAAACAACTAATGTAAAGATAGATATTGGCACACTGATGAATGTTCCCACTATCTCTGGGGTGGGCGGAGGGGCTTGGGTAGGGTTATAGCCATTATAATGTTTTATTTCTGTATCAAAACAGGTTGCTTTCAGTAGTAACTGACCACTTTAAGGAGTAGTTGCTGTATTTTGCTGCCCTTGTGCTGTTGTTGGTAACAGTTTTTAGTGGTGCCAGTGGGGGTTGTATCCAGACTGTGGACTGTTCTGGTTTCATAGAGGAGGTACTCTGCCTGCCTGGGTATCTCATCAGGGGCCGCAGAGGGGGCAGAGTGGCTACATGGTGGGTTTGTGTGGGGGTAAGGGGGCCATCTATGATGGGGGATTTGTTAAGTTGGTTGGGTTTCACAGCTTGCCCTGTAAGGGCAAGCCCATAGAGTTAGATAGAGTGCTCATCTTTGCCCCTGAAAACAGGCTTTGTGCCAAGTGTGCCCTCTATCTAACTCTATGGCTAGACCTGAGGCCAGACCAGAGACGGTAGAGAACGCGAGACATCTCACTGGCAAATTTTTTTTTGGCAGGTCAGGTGAGGCGAGCGGGGAGGTGACAATAAGTAGACCAGAGTCAGCTGTTAGTGGTCCTCTGTAGCTCAGCTGGTAGAGCACGGCGCTTGTAACGCCAAGGTAGTGGGTTCGATCCCCGGGACCACCCATACACAAAAAAAATGTATGCACGCATGACTGTAAGTCGCTATGGATAAAAGTGTCTGCTAAATGGCATATTATTATTATTATTATTGGGCAGTTTCCCATTGAAAAAAAATCCTGTCTGTGTAAGTGGGCGTTCCCTCTCTCGCATGAACATGCCAGAGATTATGGAGGAACCGTGAGCTCACGCAGGAAAGCATGCTCACGTGAGAGAGGGAACCTTGAACATTTTTTCCAATGGTAAACTACCTGAATACGACATCTTCATTTATCCGCAATTTTTGGCCAGACCAGACCAGAGAGAGAGAGAGAGAGAGAGAGAGAGAGAGAGAGAGAGGACAGGGTCCAGATGTCTTCTTATAGCATTGATTAATATTGATATTTCCGACATAGTGCACTACTTTTGGGCCCTGGTCAAAAGTAGTGCACTATATAGGGAATATGGTGCAATTTGGGACAAACCACAGTATTATAGTCCTAATGGCCCAGCACCATTCTAAGCTATGTCGTCATCTTCACCACATTGCTCCTGTAGCCTGGCAGTGTTGTCTCAGAGCGACTGGTCTCTCCAGACAGACTCAGAAGGTGATGCTGCTGCCACTCAGTTTGTCATCAGTTGGCCCTCCAGGTACAGTGGTAGGAATATACTGTAGGGGCAGACCTGAGTTCAAATACTTTTTGTAAATCTTTTAAATACTTTTAGCATTTGCTTTAGCCTGCAGGTGGGCAGGGTTTGTCCTTTTGAGATTTGATTATATGTTCTATTGCAACAGGCAAGCTCACTCAAGCACAGATTTGAAATGATGTCTAATAGCATTTGAACCCAGGACTGTGTACCATATGGGTGTGTCTGTAGACCCCAAAACATTTACCTAACACATCCTCCCAACAGATAGACAATCTATATAATTTATATTATAATATATCCCATATAAAATATTACTATATAATCATAGTAATCATTCCCCTTTGTCATCTCCAAGTTAACTGGTGTTTTTTAGTTCTCAGTGTGAGGTTTGGATTGCAGTTCTTTAACTCTCCTTCCCAACCCCCTAATTTTTTAATCAGCGTTTTGGACTTCTCATCCATTTTAATTATCCTTAAAACTTCTAAGCCTCCTCATTGGGGAATCGGATGGAAACCTGAATGCACACAAGTAGTAGAAGTGAATGCTTTGGTAACTTCTAAGAATGTTATCTCTCAAATGTCATCAAAACTGCTCATCAGGGAATCAGATGGAAACCTGGATGCACACAAGTTATAGAAGTGAATGCTTTGGTCATACGTTAGTTATTGGTCAGATATGTAGTATACAGTAGCAGGGCCCTGTTTCCCAAAACCCTCCTAGTGCTACAATCATCGTACAGTAAGAACCACAATTATTTTCCAATCGTTTCATTCTGAACAGAACCATATTTTTTTTGTTCCGTTCCAATGTTCCGACCAGCAAAATATAGTTCTGAACCAGTTCGAACCCAAAAAAGTACCACTTCATATCATTCCTTTTTTGTTAATATTTATTTAAAAATGTATTTATTTTATTATTATTTTTATAAAACAAAATAGGGGGATATATCAGCTTTAATATTGCTGATAGATTGTGGCTTCTGTCAATGTAATTGTCTGCATAATTTCCAATCCCCCATATATACACTACCAGTCAAAAGTTTGGACACACCTACTCATTCAAGGGTTTTTCTTTATTTTTACTATTTTTTACATTGTACAATAATAGTGAAGACATCAAAAATATGAAATAACACATATGGAATCATGTAGTAACCAAAAAAGTGTTAAACATATCAAAATAGATTTTATATTTTATATTCTTCAAATAGCCACCCTTTGCATTGATGACAGCTTTGCACACTCTTGGCATTCTCTCAACCAGCTTCATGAGGTAGTCACCTGGAATGCATTTCAATTAACAGGTGTGCCTTCTTAAAAGTTAATTTGTGGAATTTCTTTCCTTTGTAATGTGTTTGAGCCAATCAGTTGTTTTGTGACAAGGTAGGGGGGTGGGGTATACAGAAGATAGCCCTATTTGGTAAAAGACCAAGTCCATATTATGGCAACAACAGCTCAAATAAGCAAAAAGAAACAACAGTCCATCATTATTTTAAGACATGAAGGTCAGTCAACACAGAACATTTCAAGAACTTTGAAAGTTTCTTCAAGTGCAGTCTCAAAAACCATCAAGCGCTATGATGAAACTGTCTCTCATGAGGACCACCACAGGAATGGAAGACCCAGAGTTACCTCTGCTGCAGAGGATAAGTTCATTAGAGTTACCAGCCTCAGAAATTGCAGCCCAAATATATGCTTCACAGAGTTCAAGTCACAGACACATCTCAACATCAACTGTTTAAAAGGGACTGTGTGAATCAGGCCTTCATGGTCGAATTGCTGCAAATAAACTACTACTAAAGGACACCAATAAGAAGAAGAGACCTGCTTGGGCCAAGAAACAAGAGCAATGGACATTAGACCGGTGGAAATGTGTCCTTTAATCTGGAGTCCAAATTGGAGATTTTGTGTTCCAAGCACCGTGTCTTTCTGAGACGCGGTGTGGGTGAACGGATGATCTCCGCATGTGTAGTTCCCACCGTAAAGCATGGAGTAGGAGGTGTTATTGTGTGGGGGTGCTTTGCTGGTGACACTGTCAGTGATTTAGAATTCAAGGCACACTTAACCGCCATGGCTACCACAGCATTCTGCAGCGATACGCCATCCCAACTGGTTTGGGCTTAGTGGGACTATCATTTGTTTTTCAACAGGACATTTTACATTTACATTTACTTACATTTTAGTCATTTAGCAGACGCTCTTATCCAGAGCGACTTACAGTTAGTGAATACATATATATATTTTTTTATACTGGCCCCCTGTGGGAATCGAACCCACAACCCTGGCGTTGCAAACGCCATGCTCTATCAACTGAGCTACATCCCTGCCGGCCATTCCCTCCCCTACCCTGGACGACGCTGGGCCAATTGTGCGCCGCCCATGAGTCTCCCGGTCACGGCCGGCTGCGACAGAGCCTGGATTCGAACCAGGATCTCTAGTGGCACAGTTAGCACTGTGATGCAGTGCCTTAGACCACTGCGCCACTCCACCACTGCGCCACCCAACACACCTCCAGGCTGTGTAAGGGCTATTTTACCAAGAAGGAGAGTGATGGAGTGCTGCATCAGATGACCTGGCTTCCACAATCCCCCGACCTCAACCAAATTGAGATGGTTTGGGATGAGTTGGACAGCAGAGTGAAAGAAAAGCACCCAACAAGTGCTCAGCATATGTGGGAACTCCTTCAAGACTGTTGGAAAAGCATTCCAGGTGAAGCTGGTTGAGCGAATGCCAAGAGTGTGCAAAGCTGTCATCAAGGCAAAGGGTAGCTATTTGAAGAATATCAAATATAAAATCTATTTTGATATGTTTAACACTTTTTTGGTTACTACATGATTCCATATGTGTTATTTCATAGTTTTGATGTCTTCACTATTATTCTACAATGTAGAAAATAGTAAAATAAAGAAAAACCCTTGAATGAGTAGGTGTGTCCAAACTTTTGACTGGTACTGTATATATTTGTAAAATATATTTTCCTTCTTTATTATTTTATATCATTTCTTTCTGTTCCTTTTTAAAACTGCATAGGAAAGTCATTAAGAGCAAATTGTATTTTGCCATTACAGCATTGTTAAATCATAATGAAAGACAAACACACATTGTGCTGCCAGTCACAGTGTAGGGCACAAGATGCAACTGAAACTTTGAGGGTGAGAGAGCGAGAAAGGATGGAGGAAGCTTGCCTTGAAGCACTGGGCATCTTGCTATGACATGCATTATCTCAATTATGGCCTATTGTATAGATAATAGAAGAAAAATGAACAATCACCTTGATTTAGCACCACAGTTTCTTTATGAAAATATTTAGCGAACTCCATGACAGTAGCTAAATCAAGGGGCTATAGCAGCAAACAAGTAGACTACAAATGCATGCTGGGTCGGGCATGCCCTGAGCTCGTGAAGTCAGTGCTACTGGAGCGCTACTGGAGCAAAATTGGAGCGGGTGAGAAGGTCAACGCTCCAGCCTTTGGGAATCTTGCTCCACACTCCAGTCAAATTGGGCACGCTCCACTCCTCTTTCCACTCCAATTCCGCTCCAGCTCCGCTCCGCTCACATACACTGTAGCCTACACACACCCACTGGCAAATATTTCCAGCTGGCAGGCAGATGCTGGAATACGTTTCTGAGTGACAGAGTGAGAGCTTTGCATAGATGCTTTGTTGCGATTTTTGTAGAAAAAAAAAATGCTGGAATGTTAAATAACGTTATTCGCCGGTTCCCATGCTTTTAAAATAATGGTTCTTTTCCGGAACAGTATAGATCAATTTCGTTTTTGGTTTGGGTTCTGTCCCTCAAATATATATATATATTTTTTTTTTTCGGTTTTCGTTTCTGTTCCCTGAACCTGTACCAACCCTTGGTAAGAACCCTCAGGGAATTCTCTGTATGTACTCTGTTGTACATATATATGTACGTATATTCAGATTTTAATGACAGGGTGACACAGTTCAAGCAGACTCTACCTGTGTCCCAAATAGCACCCATTTCCCTATATACTGCACTGCTTTTGACAAGGGCCAATGGGGCTCTGGTCAAAGGTAATGCACTGTATAGGGAATAGGGTTCTATTTGGGACACATACTATGTGTGTCCTGAGTTTGATAGGCAGAGGAGTTGGGCTGTATGAGAGTGAGTACTGAGTACTGTAGGTGTTGGGGTGTGAACATTAGTCAGATGCTCGGTCTAACGCAGCCTGTGTGGCTGTGTCCACTGAGTCAGCAAATGCCAGCTGAGTGAGTCTGTCTGCACTCATATAGGCTGCCGACTCACTGAGACACAGTCAGAACTACCGTGAAATTACCTGATTGTGTAAATCTGAAAACAAACCATGTTATGCCTTGTAGAATGTGTTTATTATTCATGTTGACAAGAGTCAGCTGGATATCTGGGAATTGGGAATTGCTGCTAATGGCATTTCAGCCAATCAGATTGCACATTTCTCCTACCCCGTTTTCTAGGATAAATCATGTTTTATTTAGGATTACAATTAGTGCCTTTTTAACTTTCTGTCTAGGCATGTAGGCTACACAGTGGATATCACTAGCGTGACTAGAGTGTTCTGTAGGCTTGACCGGCCTTAAGACCTTGTGCTGAGGAAAGTGTTAGCTAGGCTAGTGGGGTATATTTTTGGAGCTGAGTTTGGCCCAGATACTCTGCATGGCTGGCCAGCTGAAGGCAGGGCTGTAGTGTGAGAGGTGCTGGGCCCATGGCCAGCCTTACTTTGAGGAGTATGGACAGGTGAGTGTGGGTCTACCAAGCATAGCCCGCTGAGGCCCTGCACCAAGCCGGTAGAAACCTGTCTGGGTTGTGTCCCAAATGGTACCCTATTCCCTAGATACAGTAATGCACACATTTTGACCAGAGCCCTATGAGCCCTGGACTATATAGGGAATAGGGTGCCATTTCAGACACAGAACTGGAGTGGATTGTAAAGCTTGACGGTTCCCTTGTATTTATTAGCAGAACGTTGCTATCTGGGTCATTTCATAGCCTCTCTGTTTGACGGACACAGCACTTCATTTACAAAGAGGTTCTAGCTATGTTCAGCTTTCCAACAGGTATATAAGTGGCAACCACTCCAACCAACATAGGATCTGCAGTGCAGCCTGTGTGGCCTAGCCTGATCCCAGATCTGTTTATGCTTTTGCCAACTCCATTGCTGTCATTGTCAAACCCAACATGAGTGACAAGGAGTTGGCATGCTAGCACCAACATATTTGCACTCAGGCTATGTGTGACCTTGTCTGCCTAGTAACACTAAGTTAAGTGTTAGATCACAAAGGAGATGTGCTGTTGTCTCCATGGAGCGTGTATACTATTTAAACACCAGCCATGCCATGTCAAATGAAGCGGCAGCCCATCAATTAGGGGTGGCTTAGTGGTGTACAAGGAGATTAGCGTTGGTTGGATCCTAAATGGCACCCTGTTACTTATTTGGTGTATTACTTTTGACCAGAGCACTGCCATTTGGGACGCAATCTAACGTGACCTTTGGCTGCTAAGAGCAAGGGGTCATAGATAAAAATAGCTTAGGCTCGCTCACATTTTGGCACAGAGAAATTTGAGTCAGCTATAGACGATATAGCAAACATGGAACATACATTTACATTTGAGTTATTTAGCAGACACTTTTGTATAGAGCGACTTACAGGAGCAATTAGGGTTAAGTGCCTTGCTCAAGGGCACATCAACAGATGTTTCATGTACTCAGCTCAGGGATTCGAACCAGCGACCTTAACCGCTAGGCTACCTGCCGCCCAAGCATGATGTCCCTATTTGAACTTGTAACCATTCTGTCAGTCAGATGGGGTGGTGTTTCTTCATACATACATTTTTAAAATATAAATAAAAGCATGTGCTGCAGTCTTTATATATCCCTGTTTGTTGTCCCTAGATTAATGGCATTCTTTAATTAATAATCACTTGACTTGACATTTATAGTTGACTTGGTGTGCATTCCATATTGCATCCCAAATGGCACCCTATTCCCTAAATAGTGTACTACTTTTGACCAAGGCACTATAAAACAAATAGGGTGTCATTTTGGACGCAGTTTTAATGACACATATTTCAAATCACTATGTCATCAATTTGACAAGGGCACTGTGGTAGTTTATTTGGGTGTCTCATTGATTGTCTTTAAATTGAAAATGAGTGCTATGGTTCGTTAATCGGTTCTTCCCCTTTTAAGAATCAGAGTAAGAGAGAGAATATCGAAAGACGAGAGCGGCGCCCAAAGGGCCCCTGCAGAGCGGGGTCCAGCTCCAGAGCCCCCAGTGAAGAGACACCGTGATCGTGCTCACACCACCACAGCTCACTACATGCCCCAACGTGGCCACAGCTCTGACCCTACCACCTACCAAAGGACTGCCCCCTCCTCTCAGCCCTCCCAACCTGCCTACGCCCACATCCCATACCCCCACGTCTCAGCACCACACACCCACACATCAGGCCCTGCCATGGGCCACCAGGGTACCCATCAGGGGAGCCACAAGGGGACCCCCATGGAACCTCAGCCTTACCTAGCAATGCCGGCCCCTGTGGCCACCAAGCTCCCTGGAGCCCCTGTGCTGGAGGTGGAGACCCCAAGGAGGAGGGTGAGCGCTGACCACATCTACACGACCCACAGGGAGACCCACAGGGAGGGCAGGCAGGCGCTGAGAGAGGAGGTCCACACCGAGGGGCTGCTGAAGAGCCGGAAAGCCGTGCTGCCCTCAGAGATCCGCCGCAGGGAGAAGAGCGTGGACGACCCCCAGAGAGGGGAGCCCCACCGGGGGCCAGTCAGCCGCCAGGACGACTCCACCACCTCAACCGCCATGGAGTATGAGAGCTATGGGTCCGGGGGGAGGAGAACCAGTCGGGCGGACTCGGAGGAGTGGGATACTAGGCCCAGGGACCAGCAGCAGCACTGTTCCAGCCACAGCCAGGACACAAAGGAGACAGGTCCAGCCATGCCCATGGAGACCTCCCACTCCCAGCCCAGCCAGCAGCAACAGGCTCCTGAGCCTCTCCACCAGCACCAGAAACTCCAGCAGCATCCGCAGCCCCAGAGTCAGCAGGACCTCCAGGGTCAACACGGCCTGCAGGACCAGCAGCAGGGTGACTCGGCGGTCTACCTACAGAGGGGTGCCTCCCTCTCTCAGGCCAGACACAGGAGCATGGAGCCAGCCGGGCCCCCCAAGCCCAAGGTCCGCACGCGCTCCATGTCTGACATCGGCGTTAGCCAGCGCTCGGCTGCCTATAGGAGCATGGAGAGGGCAGCTCCCAGCAGAGAGGCTACCATGGCAGCCCACCTGGCCAGGGAGGGAGGGGTGGCAGTGGGGGTACTGGCCAATGGGGAGGTGGGGGCCTTGGATACCAGGGTCTCTGTGGCCCAGCTCCGACACTCATATCTGGAGAACGCCAACAGGAAGCCGGAGCTGTAGGTGGAACAGCATGTTTACTGACTCTTTAATCAGTTTGCTTTGCTTTGGTCATTTGCCTAACACTAATGTAGACTCTCATCCTAATATGAGACTTGAGATGTTTGAGCTTGTGTGTTTTTTGAGTGCAGTCTATTGCATAATCAAACATGATATCAAGAGATCTTCCAAGCCTGTATTGGGGGATAACTTATTATTTGTTTAGCCAGCTGCTTGGACATGTTCTGTTATTATTAGCCTGTTGGGCAAACTTGAGTGGTTTGTTGCTGCATGTTGTATGTGGGTTCAGACACAATTGGGTTTGTGACAGAATCCCTAATTTTGGAGACAGTTAATTTTTGCGGTGTGATCGTCTTGTGCGTGACTTCACCACCTCTAACCTGGATGTCTGGATTGCTGTGGAAGAAAACTGACCTTGCCGTTCGTTCTCTCACTATTATCCCCCTTTTCTGTTGCCGTCATCGCTCTCTCCATCCCAACACACGACCTTACAAAGGGAGCCAACTAAAGTAGAGCTTACTGCAATGGAAGTAGATCCGGCTGCTGGGACCGCTGACCGGGAGCGTGGCACAGCACGGAGGCCACGGCGCTACATCACCCCTGGAGACATCCGCAAGTCCTCTGAGAGATTTAGGACGCAACCCATAACCTCTGCAGAGCGTCTGGAGTCTGATAGGTGAGAGGTTTAGGACTCAGCCCATAACCTCTGCATAGCGGCTGGAGTCTGATAGGTATTGAAGGCCCTGAGGGACAAGTCTCTCTGAAAAGGTAAACAGAATACATTTGCTAAGATCACCAGTGAGTGTACTGTGGACAGTGGCTTTTCTTTTTTCTCCTGGAGTTTGTGGGATACATGGTGCAGACCATGGGGATTTTATGCTGTCTCAATACTTAATAATTTTGTCTGTTGTGCCGTATAACAAAATACCATTCTTGAGTCTATTTTGATCAATGTCTTGTTTGTTTTCTCCCTCAGGTCTCGTCTGAGTCCAACCGAGCTACAGAACCCAGAAGGCAAGTATCAGTGGAGATTATTTAGTTTATTTAGTTACCAACACCACTCTTAATTAAATAACTATTAATTAGCCAGAATGCTCACCATCTGACGGCATCAAACCATTTCATTAATTCCATTCCAGCCATTACCATGAGCCATCTCCCGTCACTATCCTCCACTGCACCTGCACTCCTCAGTGGGTACACCTTAGTATTGTGGATGTGTTGTGGACTGACAATGGTTTACCCTTCCCTTTTGCAGCTGACGAAGAGAAGCTTGATGAGAGAGCTAAGATGAGTGTGGCTGCTAAGAGGTCACTCTTTAGGGTACAGTATCTGCCTTGTGTGTATTTGTTTACATTTAGGGCCGGTTTCCAGGACACAGATTAAGCCTAGTCCTGAACTAAAAGTATGTTTCAATGGACATTCTCCATTGAGCATACTTTTCAGTCCAGGACTAAGCTTAATCTGTGTTGGGGAAACTGGCGCATATAGTATATTCCCATGGTTTGATGCATGTTGTTGATGAGCAGAGATTTACTATAAGTATGTTTCTCTTCGTTCCCCTCCACAGGAGCTAGAGAGGACAACAGATAGCGTCCCCAAACCGCGGTCCCGTAACCCTGCCGTAGAGAGGCGCCTGAGACGAGTCCAGGACCGTGCGCGCACACAGCCTATCACCAATGAGGAAGTGGACATCGCTCACACGTATGTCTGTCACTCTCCGATCATTACTAAGCGCTGCCTTGGCGTCATTTTGTTCACAACGGAAGGGTCAAAAAAGTACAACATTTGGTCAATATAAAGCTATTCATTCCAATCTCTCTTCTTGTGATGTTCTTGTTTGACTCTCTTCCCCTGTCTACTGCTTTGTTTCTCTGATTCTATTGTCTGCTGCTTTGTGACTCCTCTCTCTCTCTCTCTCTCTCTCTCTCTCTCTCTCTCTCTCTCTCTCTCTCTCTCTCTCTCTCTCTCTCTCTCTCTCTGTGACTCCTTTCCCTATGTGACTCCCTTGTCTGTCCCTGTCTATGTGGGACACTTTTCTGGACATATAAAGTGTCCCTGCTATGTCCTCACAATTGGTGACGGTCCACACCACAGTAGCACGCATCCCCAGCCCCACTGTAGTCAACACCACCATGACCAGTTACAGGTACAGGAACAGGTGTGTGTGTATATTGGCTTGTGTGGCAATGCATGGATATTAAGTTATTATTGATTAATTAATAGTTTTGCACAATTGCAGTACATTTCTGAAATCCTAGTTAGATGATTCCGGATGTCCTTCTTATTCCCTCTGATTCAAGGAATCTTGAATCTTCTGGAAAACCTGGGAATTTTGGGAAAGTTACCATCATTTTGCAACTGTATTAATTCATTTGTAGTCGTTGTCTAAAGCTACAGGTGGAATTAGGCAGGCAGACATCTGCTGTACAGTGCCCTCTGCTGGTTATAGTGTTCATAGTGCTCACTCACGCCTGCTAGTTTCCCCGGAATAGCTGTGTGAAGTTGAACCTTATAGGGGGAAGAAACTTGTTTTAACACAATAGATTCTTTAGTACCTTTCAACTCCACAAGTATTAGGGGAGAATGGGGTAAGTTGAGCCATATTTTACATTCAGCATCACTACATCCAGGGAAATATAGTATTCTTTCTAACAAACAACTCTACATATATTTCAGGATTTTGTGTATCCCTGGAAATAATCAGAATTAATGTAAACATATATATATTATATATATATATATTTTTTAAATAAGTGATCTCTTGCCACAACTTATGGAGTAAACTGAGCATAGGGACAGGGTAAGTTGAGCCGCCTTGGGGTAAGTGGGTGATGGTGCTGGTAGGTCAAAGTTTTCATGGAATGGGGGTTTGGTGTATTGTATATCTTAAATAATATGTATGCCTATATTCAGATATAGATTTCTCTGTTCAATATCGCTTACACTTCCAGTTGAATGGGACATGGATGCTGTTTCGATGTGACAATTTGTAGGCAAATTCTCTGCATTTGAGGCTACTAAGCTCCTACAACTGGTCGGCAAGATTCTTGATATGTTTAGCAAGCTCAGACTCCATGTCATCTTTCGCATATGTACATGTTTGTTTTCTTTTTTGTCATTGTAACTCTTCAGTGTCATTCAGTCTATTTTTCCATCCATAACTTCCTTGGCTGTTATGGATGACACTTCTCAGTAGTTGGTATTCAGACTTACCGAATGCAGGTGCGTAATGGGTTTTGCAGGAATGGCTCCCTTGCGCACACTAAATAAATTAAATTAAACTGCTGAAAACCCTCCCACTTGCTAGCTAACAGATTTTCTCGTGGAGTTGTCATTCAATAGGGTTTTCAGTACATTTATCGAAAGCCATCCCTTTAAATATGGTGTACCTTTAATGTCAAAAAAATCTCGACAGACTCACTAGAATATAATGTTTATCGAGAGACAGGTTCAGAATAGGGATCAATTAAAGAAAGCCATATAAATACCCGCATCTTCGCCTCCTTTTCAGCACCAATTGGTAGATAAAAAAAATAATTGTTTAGGGTTAGGGAAGTATTTATGAATCATACATAAACAGGGTTGGAGAGCCTTTACACACAAAATGTATTAGCCAATCAAAAAGACAGTGGTTTCATTCATCCTGAAAGGTCCAGTTGTCGTGAACCATGCTCCAGGCTCCAGGTTTAAACTGCTATGTATGGTCTGCGTTTCATAATGATTCAAATAAACTACATGTCCCAGATTATTGCACAACTTGTAATACTTTATCCTAATATGATCCACTATTTCTAGTGACCATCAGGAACAACCACACAGACGTGACAGTGGAAAGAAAGGTAAACTAACGATGTAATGGAATGATGCAAATTGTAGGCTACAAATGGAAGGAAACTAACAGTCACTGCACCAAAGTGACAGTTATTACGTATGCGGGTATTACTGACGGTGGCTACCAATAGTGGCTAATATTTAATATGAGAGAAATTGTTAAAAATAACTTTAACCTCTTAAGGCCCAAGCTGTTTTTTTACATGCATTTTTTATTTCTCTTTGCTATTTGGGCTTATTGGAACCTAATTAGAATAAAAACGAAGTATCATCTTTTGATATGATGTACTTTTAGAGAAAAATTATGTCCACATATGTGGATTCATGGTCCGAATTGCATTAGGCTAACATTTTCAACACAACTAATTTAAGTATGTATGTATGTATTTAGTGATTTAATTGTTATTTATTTCATTGGGACCATGTACAGCTTTTTAGCTGCATCAGAGCTAGCTTTTTTCCCATTTTACGTGTGTGCATGTTTACAAGCATATTAGCTGTTTCGAGGAGCCTCAGTCCATAAGTACACTTACGTGTACTTCATGTTTAGCGACCTACAAAGTTGCTAGTTTTACACTTTTTTTTTCAAATTTGCATGTCATGACAAATATACAAGGCTTTTATAAATATCTAAATCAGAATAAGCCATGAAATATGACAGAACTTCTACACAATTGTGGACATAAGAGCTAAAAAGTGCTGTCCACGTATGTGACCACTAAGCCCTAGGAGGTAAAGTCCGGGCAGACTTGAAAAGAGGCAAAAATACCTGTCAAGTTGACATGCTTTTCCGTTTGCTGAAATATGACTGGTTTCACATTTGCCTCCAGCGATCATAAGGTAAAATAGTCCTAAAACAATTGTCATTTATATTTACAATCCACTTATCCAAACGGATTAGTCATTTACCTAGGTCTTATCAATAGCTCTTATCAATTTATAAATGACAATGCAAGGAGATTATTCTATCGGAAAAAAGAAAGTCGATGTTTTTCCACTTGGATCTGACCTGTTGCTTGACTTTATTCATTGTTTCCTCAGTTGTGGTAGAATTATGAGGGAATTAAGTAAAGGACAAAATATGGCATATCTGTAGACACACCTCCATTTCTGTGATCTCCATCCCAAACGAATTTTGGCTGACAGATGCATTTGCCCATATTTAAGTTCAAGGTCAGAATACATGTAGAGAGAAGGGTGCATAAAAAGGGAATTAAGTTTAATTTACGCACACGTAACTCGGATCTGAATTCCCCCCATTATGCATAAAACTGACAAAATGTAATCATCATTTGTATGGAGTATGGTGGCCATTGGCTCATCTTACCCCATGGCATTTGGCTCAATTTACCCTAAGGCAAACATTTTGACTGTATTAGCCCACACAGTTACTATTATGCACTTTCATGCTAGGTTTAGGACCTTATATTGTAGTTTATAGAGACCCCAAATCTTACAACTATCTACTTTGGTTTCAAGCATTATGAAACCTATAACACAAATAATTCATTTGACTTTATGAAATTACGTTTTTTGGACAAAAATAAAAACGTTTTCCGTGTGGTTTCTTCCTTCACAGACTCCATGAAATGAGGTTGTCACTAGTTAACATGGTCACAAAGTCATAAACCCTGCCTGTTTCTACAATTTGTCCTCTTAAAATCTGATTTGAAACCTAACCCTAACCTTAAGTATAACCTTAACCACATTGCTAACCTTATGCATAACGCTAACTTTAAATTAAGACCAAAAAGCACATTATTGTTTTCATGACTTTTAAATCTAACTATAGCCAATTTTGACTTTGTGTTTGGGTTATCTAGTGGAAACCATGAAATGATGACCTCTTCCTAAATATTTGGTCACATGATTCATTTTGTGTATGGTTTCCTAGAATGAAAGGGTGGCTCAACTAACCCACTCTCCCCTACTGCTTTCAGTATTGTTTGTACTCTTTAAGGGATAGTTCACCTAAATTACAAAATGGCATATTAGGATTCCTTGTAAACAGTCCGTGGAACAAGATAACACAGCAATCTCCAGATGTAATATTGTAATGCGGGTGAACTATCCCTTTATGTTCCTATGTTGAAATGTGTCACACATCTTCTAACGCTGTGACTGAGGGAGAAAAGGTCAAAGGTAAAGCCAGTTAAAGCTTCAGGTTCACGTGTGGGGCGAGCGTGTAGCACCCAGTTTGTTTTCCAACTGAGGTTAAACTTAACATGCTGACAGAACCAACCATCCATATTCTCTACTACAGATGGCTGACAGCATGAGCAGCATGATTATCTCAGTGCAGGCTACACACATCTACTTAGAACTCCTGTTGCCACCCCATGTCTGCATCCTGATTCTCCACAAGTATGCACTTGCCAATGATTACTACCCTTTTCCACCATCGTAAGTGCTGCACGCTCAACCAATCCTTTTAAATCCATGACAGGGAGTGTACAATTGCACTCTTTGAGAGAAGGGTAGAGAAGCGGGATGCAGCGTTTCGCTATCATGTTCTGATCAGGAATTGTAATGATTTACCTTGATGCTATTCACAGGATACTGTACATGCTTTATGAAGATGAATAGTTAGTTTGATCATAAGCATCACCGGGGCTTAAGCATTATTGTGTTCATGTGGTTGAGTTCAATGCAAACTTCAGATTTTTCTGACTATTAACATTGTAGTTTTGCTACTTAACAGAATGTGTTTTGATTACCTAACTGATCATCTAGCATGTTGACATGTTCTTGCTAGATATTGTCCTTAAATTGTACAGTATGGTACATTATAATACAGTGTTACATATGGCCCTACAGCTGTTAACCCATAGAAGCACAATCTGCACTCATCCCCTGTGTGTGTGTGTGTGTGTTTATGTGTGCTTCCTACTCCCAGCCTGCAGGAGGCATCGCAGCATGGCTCTATGGTGCGGAGTATGGGGGAGCAGGACAAGAAGAAAGAAAGGGAGAGGGAGGCCCAGCCTGAGGAGAAAATGGAGGGCCTGGGTCCAGATGAGCCTGACCTCTCCACTCTCAGGTACAGACAGAGAATGTGCTCAACTCTTATCCTCTTATGTAAACAAATGAAAGGGTGTTTGGAAGCAAAAATGTATCACATCGAAAAAGTTGCAATTGGAGCTTGTTTTTTTTTCTTCTCTTTGAACTCATGGCAACATGTCTTAAATTTTACAACTTGATTTTAGATAGGTCCACACCCTGAAATAAGTCTATGGGCCAGGAAAAACTGTAATCCATGTTTCTTTAAACAACCACTAAAAACTTCAGCTAACTTTACCCACCACTAGCTAACATTCAATGGAAGTGATGGGGATATAGACCCTAGTGACAGACCACACACTGACATACAGTACATTACCTCTCCCCTCACAGCCTTGCAGAGAAGATGGCCCTGTTCAACCAGCTGTCCCAGCAGCCCTCCAAGCCTGCTGCAGAGGGGGCCGGGGCCTCTAGGGGTGACACCCGCCAGCGCAGGGCCAACACCCGCTTCCAGACCCAGCCTATTACCCAGGGAGAGGTGGATCAGGTATAGAGTCCTGCCCCTCTCTCAACCCAGATAGACAATGGACATGTGCACATGCACACTCCCTGTCATGGATTTTAAAGCATAGGATTGATGTAAGCAGTGGCTGGAGGGAGGCTCCACCCATTGTTCAATCCATGCGAGATAGTGTACAAGTGCACACCTCGGGAGAACGGTGCAGAATCAGGACCAAAAAATGAGGGGCTTCCTCTCTCTTGCTCTTCAAAAATGTAGCCTCTAGGTGTCAAGCCTTACAATGAGGGCCAGTTTCCCTGACCCAAATTAAGCCTAGTCCTGGACTAAAACCCCACCAATGGAGATTCTCCATATTTTTGGAAACTGTTCCTGAGAGTATGTTGTTATACACAAACGAGTTTATCTTTGCCCTGATACAACTACAGGTTGATCATTCTGTACAAACACTGAAGAACTTACACAATCACACAATTAGTAAGTGATCCAAGCAGCATAATATTGAACTGAAACATTAACGTGAACTAGTATATAACAACCCTGTAAGTGAAGTAATGCTGTGTCCATACAGGAGATAGATCCTATGGTTACCTCTCTTCCTCCTCCTCCGTTGACTAACAGAGAACAAGTAAGAGCCTGCCTAGCAACCTGCCTAAACATTGCTGCTGACTGGTAGTGTTCTACTCATAGCATTCTAAAGGCTCGTAGCGTTCTAAAAGCTTGTATGCGTTCATATGGCGAGCCATGATATCCATTAACAATACGGCTTGGTGTTATGACAATGTTAATATAGATGTTGAAATGCTCAGCCCTCATAGAGTACATGATTTTCATTCATGCATTCACTTTGGAAATATGACACAACCCCAAAGTGTGTCATTCATATAGGAATGAAGAACTACCGTATATCATGACAGGGATGTAGCTCAGTTGGTAGAGCATGGCGTTTGCAACGCCAGGGTTGTGGGTTCGATTCCCACGGTGGGCCAGTATTAAAAATAATAATGTATGCACTAACTGTAAGTCGCTCTGGATAAGAGTGTCTGCTAAAATGTAAATGTAAAATTACATTATACTGCTACATTGTGCTTGCTTACAGAAAACTTTGGCATGAAAGCACAGTAGTGTTTAGTGAATACAACGATATTCTGCCTCAAGATGCTTTAATATCATATTAGCAAGAGAGTTCTGCTCTTCTAAAATGCTTATCCAATGGCTGAATAAGTATGCATTTAGACATTAGTAATAATATTTATAGGAATGTATTAGACTCAGATGCATGCAAGATTGGTTCTTGTGCAAAGGCTGTCTTGTCTTGAGTGTACTGTAAATTGAATAAATACAAATTTGGCTGGAATATTATAGGTTTAATTATTAATGTTGATTAAGTCAAAGATTGTAGGGAAGTTGTGTTGTGCACAGGTTAATGCATACTGCTTGGTTCTAAAGTTGCACTGAAGGTGAAGGTAATTAACAATGGTAAAGGGTAAGTGCTCACTTTCAGGTGAACATCACAGAAGAGAATCACTCCTAAAAAGCAGGATGAATTATAATGCATAACATTTTAACGCTATGATTATGCATTGCTAAAGAAAATGACCTCTTACAATACTTTCCATTGAGAAGAATATATGCTTCATTGGTCATTTATTATGAATGGGGTAAATGGGATATGGTCAGAGGCAATGACTTGTGAATTGTGATATTATTTGTGTTTTTTTCTGAATTACCTCATGGCCCAGGCCTGCCTTGTCTAAAGCATGTTTTGTTTAGAATTGGCGATGGTCCATGTTTGTTTTTTTATGACCAAATGTGAAGAGCTGCTCTACACGGATTCATTTCTATCTGCATCTGTTCTGACTGCATGTTGTCCTTTCCCCCCTCCCTTTATTCCTCCATCCCTCTATCCCTCCATCTCCCCCTCCATTCATTCATCCCTCCCTCCTTCCATTCGGTCATTCCTCCCTCCATCCCTCCTCTCGCTTCCTGCAGCTGCAGAATGGAGGAGGAGGGGTCAAGCTGGAGCCGCTGTCTGCCTCTTTGGTCCGCTCCGTGGCAGCTGTCACCTCCCAGGTCTCAGTCGCCGAGGTAACCACGGCGACTTCCAGCGACAGCAACATCCACCTTGGGAAATCTATGGCCGTCCCCTACAACCCACTACCACCACCCAGGAGAGGGGAGGGGTGAGGTGTGTGTGTGTTTCCTCATATTATGACATTTGAAAATGGTGTCAAATAAAATACATGAAACCATGTATTGTTGCTTAATTGAAGTTTGTCTGTCTGTCTGTCTGTCTGTCTGTCTGTCTGTCTGTCTGTCTGTCTGTCTGTCTGTCTGTCTGTCTGTCTGTCTGTCTGTCTGTCTGTCTGTCTGTCTTCTGTCTGTGTCTCTCTCTCTCCTCTCTCTCTCTCCTCCTCTCTCTCTCTCTCTCTCTCTCTCTCTCTCTCTCTCTCTCTCTCTCTCTCTCTCTCTCTCTCTCTCCCCCCCTCCCCCCTCTCTCTCAGGTACTTCAGCCTGACCAAGGGCGGAGACTCCTCCAGTTTCCCTGAACCAGATCTGTACTCCCCAGGCCCTCCCCTTTCAGAGCAGCAACAGCAGCAGCAGGCTCACAGCAGAAGTGCCAGAGAGAGAGGAGGAGACAGAGGCGGAGCTCCTGGAGCCGGTCGCTCCTTCACTGGCAACAGAGAGAGAGAGGAGGAGGAGGATGTGTGGGGAGGAGGGGCCAGCAGAGAGGAGAGGGAGAGCCATGGTAGTAGTGGTGCTGGAGGCAGCAGCAGTAAGGGAAGACTCCACTCCCCCGACAGGGACAGCAGACAGCAGAGCTATCAGCCCCCAGCCCCAGAGCCCCAGCCATGGCACGCCAACAGTAGCCAGCAGGAGTCCATCGACCCTCCCTCTTTGAGGCACGGGAGGGGTGAGTTGCTGGTGGAGCCCAGCCAGCACAGAGACAGAGAGAGAGACAGAGAGAAATACGGCAGTAGCATCAACATCTCCCTGGAGAGGAAAGAGGACGGGAGCTACCTGGGAGAGACACACAGCTCAGAGAGACACACAGAGCTGCAACACACAGCAGACAGAGAGAGCACACGGAGCAGCAGGAGCAGGGAACTCCTCTCAGGTAGGAAACACAGACCATTGTATGCCTCCCAAATGGCACCCTATTCCCTACGTAGTACACCACTTTTGACCAGGGCTGAACAAACATGCATGTAGATTAGAGGAATATTTATATGCATTCATTATACGGACGGTAGATGCACTCAAGAGGGTTTTTCTATTCCATGCACTATAAAAAGGGCATATGGTGTCATTTGGGATGCACACAAGAGATAGCGAGGACAAGGGAAATATCTTATTGTCTCATGGATCATGCAGCATGTTAATTGCATGCCTCTTTCCATTGGCTACACACTGCCTTCATCGGCGGTTTGATTTGTCTTAACGCCTAATGCTTCTGTGTTCATCACATCACAGACACTATCTGACAGACAGGAAGACTAGAGACACGGCTTCAGCTGAATCTAATTAGCATATTTGTACATACATTTGCCCCCGTGGCTCCCTTTGTCTGCAAATGTAGGACCACTCTTACTGACAGGTTGTTTGTAATTGTGATTCCAAATGGAAATCAAGTATGATTGTGGATATGTTTTTGTGGATGACATGGATGGATGTCAGTGTTGTAGGCTGTGGTTTACGCATTGGTGTTGTGCTCTGTAGGGTAGACAGACAGTGTAAACAGGCTGACCCATCCGTCTGTGTGTCTGGATGACTGTCAGCATACATCGTGTCCAGAGGATGTGGGGTCGTCTTTTTTCAATGCCAATGCAATGAGGGAGATGGGAATTTGTGGATGACAGGGGAGGAATGAAGATGAAGGCTGTGAAGTTTCCTTGAGAGTTTCCTCTTAGAAAGACAGGAGACAGGCTAGAGAGCCAGCGTCAGTGAAGCGAGAGCAGACAATGGGAGCCTCGTTGTTCCGATGGAGGCGAGTCTGTCTTAATTTCAGATCCGAGAGGAGGAGAGGACTGAGAGAGAGAGAGAAAGGAGAGCAAAGAGTGAGATTGAGAGAAGAGAGGGGGGTGAGGGCAAGAGACGTAGGAGAGAGGAGCATGGGGAGCTGAAGTGCTGAGTAGCATGTAAGATGAGAGAGAGGGAGAGAGAGAAGTGAGAGAGAGGAGAGAGAGAGAGAGGAGAGATTGGGGGGGGGTGGGGAGAGTGGCAGAGAGAGAGCTATGATAGACTGATGACGATAGTCTATGAGAGTGAGTGAAGAGTCTGAGATTATTTTGGAATCCTATCTGAGTGAGATTGTAGAGAGAGAGAGAGAGAGAGAGAGAGAGAGAGAGGAGAGAGAGATCCTCTATGCAGACAGAACACTGGACACCGGCTGAGCATTAGAGATCATGTGAACTGAACACTGATCATGGCAGTCGTGAAGGGTGTATGCAATGCATACGTGTGTGTGTGTGTGTGCATACGCGGTGTGCATGTGTGCTATGGGGGGCTGCTATTGGGGTCTGCTTCTCCCCGTGTGTGAGTATTGATTACACTGTGGATTTATTACAATGCATTTTCTGTGTGTGTGTGTGCATGTGTGCGTGTGCGTGTATGTTGCTGTCTATATGTCTACAGACACCGAGCACACCAGTGTGTCATTGAGAACTGTGACAACAGCGGCAGCGTCTAGGAGTGTCTCTCACACCTCCAGTACACAACAGCAACAGCAGCAGATCCAGTCTTTGAACCAGCCTCCCCAGACACTGCCCAAGCTCTACACCCAGTCTACCCCACAAACCCAGCCCCAGGAAAACTCCCAACCTCCCCAGCCCCAGCACTTCACCCAGGCACCTCCAGCCCAATCCCAGCCCAAGCACCAGGAAAGGGAGAGGAGCTTCACCCAGCCACTACCCAAGCCTTACTCTCAGCTAACCCCTCAGACTCAACCCAAACCCCAGTCCTTATCCCAGCCTCCTCCTCCCCAGACCGCCCCCCAGACCCTGCCCAAGCCCACGTCCTTCCCTCAGCCGCTGGTCAAGTCTCAGTCCCTACCTCTGGACTACAGTGACGACTTCACAGGACACGGTGTCTCCGACCTCCTCTCCCCCACTGAAACAGAACTCTCAGAGATGTCCGCCAAACAGATGTCCATCAAAGAAAGGTTAGTCTGTGCTGGGTGATTGGGTAACAATGGCAATGGGAGGATGTTGTACTGTACATACACTACCGGTCAACAGTTTTAGAACATCTACTCATTCAAGGGTTTATCTTTATTTTTTACTATTTTCTACATTGTAGAATAATAGTGAAGACATCAAAACTATGAAATAACACATATGGAATCATGACAGCTTTGCACGCTCTTGGCATTCTCTCAACCAGCTTCATGAGGTAGTCACCTGGAATGCATTTCAATTAACAGGTGTGCCTTCTTAAAAGTTAATTTGTGGAATTTCTTTCCTTCTTGAGCCAATCAGTTGTGTTGTGACAAGGTAGGGGTGTATACAGAAGATAGCCCTATTTGGTAAAAGACCAAGTCCATATTGTGGCAAGAACAGCTCAAATAAGCAAAGAGAAATGACAGTCCATCATTACTTTAAGACATGAAGGTCAGTCAATCCGGAACATTTCAAGAACTTTGAACGTTTCTTCAAGTGCAGTCTCAAAAACCATCAAGCGCTATGATGAAACTGGCTCTCATGAGGACCGCCACAGGAATGGAAGACCCAGAGTTACCTCAAATGCAGAGTATAAGTTCATTAGAGTTACCAGCCTCAGAAATTGAAGCCCAAATAAATGCTTCACAGAGTTGAAGTAACAGACACATCTCAACATCAACTGTTCAGAGGAGACTGTGTGAATCAGGTCTTCATGGTCGAATTGCTGCGAAGAAACCACTACTGACACCAATAATAAGAAGAGACTTGCTTGGGCCAAGAAACACGAGCAATGGACATTAGACCGGTAGAAATGTGTCCTTTGGTCTGGAATCCAAATTGGAGATTTTTGGTTCCAACCGCTGTGTCTTTGTGAGACATGATTCCATATGTGTTATTTCATAGTTTTGATGTCTTCACTATTATTCTACAATGTAGAAAATAGTAAAAATAAAGAAAAACCCTTGAATGAGTAGGTGTTCTAAAACTTTTGACCGGTAGAGTAGGTTTACAGAAATCCTGGTTGTAGGATTGCGAATATCCTGCTTATTCCCTTCTGATGCCGGAAATCTTCCAACCATAATTTTAGAATTTTGGGAAAGTTACAGGAATTTTGCAACCTGAGTAGTAATTGTCTGAATGGGTTCTCTGTTGTGCAAGATGTAGGCATCATTCAGGTGACATAGCGGCTTGCCAAAGATTTCACCTTGATTCACGTTGTTGTCTCTGTAAAAAACGTGATGAATATGAGACCAAATGAGGCCAAATGGTACCCTTTTCTCTAGATAGTGCACTACTTTCATAAGGCTCTGGTGAAAAGTAGGACACTATGTAGGGAATAGGGTGCCATTTGGGGCACACACAGAATCCCCCTGTGTCCTTGTTTCTGCCTCTCTTTGAGGTGAAAGTGATTTATTCCTGGCCACTGTGCATTTTCCCTATTTGTTCCTGGAGAGAGGAGAGACAGGAGAAGGAGAGCAGGCTGCAGTCTGTAGACATCTTTAGTATTTGTCCCAAATGGCAGCATATCCCCTTTATAGTGCACTACTTTTGACCTGACTGCATCCCAAATCCCACTCTACCCCCTGACTCCATCCAATTGGCGAAAGATTTTCATGCGAATATTCTAAAATCCGCATAAAGAAAATATGTGCATTTTCCCACCAGTGGTGTGTTTCCACCAAACGGACTTGTTTCAGATAAAAGTCAATGCATGAAGATGTAGTGCATGCAAAATGTACTTTTTAGCTTAAGTTTACATGTACCGATGTGTTTATGTGTCCTGTCTCTGTCAGGCTGGCCCTGCTGAAGAAGAGTGGTGAGGAGGTTAACCTCTCTTTCTCTCTCTCTCTTTCTTTCATTCCCTCTCTCCCTCTCTCTCCCAGGCTGGCCCTGTTGAAGAAGAGTGGTGAAGAGGACTGGAGGAACAGGATCAATAAGAAGCAGGAGGTGGTAAAAGTGGCTGTGACTGAGAGACACTCCACAGTACAAGGACAGGGATGGGAGGCAGAGCAGACCTACAAGAAGAAGGTGAGACTACACACAGCTGGACCTCCAAATTGAATCTTGAAAGAGAAGCCCCATTGTGGGCTCAAAAAGATACAAACAAACAAACACACTATGTGGAGATTCACTGCACTATAACTACAACAGTACAACAATACAACAAGCAGCATCACCACACCTCACAAAATGACTATTGAGATCATATGATAATGCATGAAACATGTTTCAACAACCTAGACTTTGTCATGCTGTACCATCATTACTCAACCCATTACCCATACAGTACTAAATGATTACAGTAAGGTGGATTTAGATGCATTTGCATTCACAAAAACCGTTTTTGTGTTCATTGTTTTTGTTATACTAAGTTAAAGATGCACTCTCAAACTTTTTGTTAATTTCAGCCAGTAGTTTTGAAAGTGATGCTCACCTTCCAAAAGTGGTCCCTGTTTTTTGTGTACTACGTCATCCAATTGTGCACTACGTCATCAATTTTGTGATATGCTAGAAGTTTGTTGTGCTTACGATCCCAGAGCGCATCTTTAAGTAGTCTCATTATGGCACTCTTCCTGGTTGCCATTTTAAAGGGGCCTCTCATGTGAGGGTGCCTTTCATTTCCCCCTTGCCATTCATCAGCCCCATCTGCTCCAGTGTGAGATCAGCTCAGCTCAGTGGGCTGATGCCCCCTTGTGTCCCAAATGCCCCCCTGTTCCCTATAGTGCCCTTCTTTTGACCATAGTTTGACCATTACCCTATGGGCCCTGATCAAAAGAAGTGCACTATACAGGGAATAAGGTGCCATTTGGGACCAGTGCCTGGGGCAACACAGCCCTGCATGGAACATATGGGCCAGTCTCCCTGTGGAATTAGCAATCTGGGGCCTTTGGAGAAATCCCTTTTCTACTTTACACTGGGACAAGATCAAGTCAAAATTGCACACTCTGATTGAAGATGGAGTTTCACTTAAACTAGTGCTAATGCCACCAAGATCTCATTTGACAATATGGTTACAGAATGGCATGTGATTATATGTATAGTTTAATGTACTTTTTACTGTACAGTATTACATTGAATTAATGAATTAGTCTACGTTATGCTACTTCACAAAAATTCTGGTTTAACTGAGCATATTCAGTTCAGATTATATCTAAAACAGAGACACTGACTTCTTGGAATAATTTAATCGCCCCTCCTTTCTGTTAATGATGCACCCCATTGTGCTGTAATCTGGGTCAAATCCTGTCTGTTTGTGTACTTAATACTTCATGTTAAATCCTCCCGTTGATCACACTTCTTCTAAGCCTCATGTTACAGTAGCAACAGTAATGGGTTGGGGCTAGGGTTGGAATTACTGGCCAGTTGGACTAGTAGACTACAATTTCTACTAGCCCAGGTGACGTTCTACTAGCCAAGGTTCCAAAATATATGCCACGCGATATTTGATAGGTCAACATTTCTGGCGTGTTTGGCACATTTTCTACTAGCCTAGCACTAGCCTTCTCCGTTTGAACATGCTATGTGTTTCCCCTGTGTTGTGTTTCCCCTGTCTTCAGGAGGAAGGGATGGTTATTGATGAGTTCGCTGCTGTCACTGTATCTGACCAGCTGTGGGTAAGGCCTGACGACGGTGCTGTGCCCCAGTGCCAACGGTGGTCCACTGAGCTCTGTGTGTGACCTGCTGCTTCTTTCAGTCTCTTCTGTTCTGTTCTGTTGTTCACTGCTGTTCAGTGTTGCAGTGGTCTGATGAGGGTTGCAAAATATCGGTAACTTTCCCCAAATTCCCAGGTTTTCCATAAATCCCGGCTGAAGAATTCCCAGATTTTCCTACTTATTCCCTCCTTGTAAAACCTGGGAATTTTGGGCAAATTACCAGAAATGTGCTACCCTAGTTGTTCACTGCTCTTCAGTGTTGCTGTGGTCTGATGCTATCCTCCCTCTTGTGGTTTGTGGCTGTGTTATGGGATGCTGGTAATGGACTTAGCTTTAGAATGAACTCCTTGCACTTTTGCTTGATTTGAAGTCAATATAGCTACGCTATAGTGTTCAGAGATAAGATGCTATGCGTTTGTTGCTACGATGCTGCCAGTCACTGCTTGTTTTTCTCCTCAAAATGTTTGCTTTTTGAACTGCACTCTGCATAGTAGTGATGGAGAAAGACTTGATTCAACAAAATAAATGAATATTTATTACATAAGTCAGTAGTGACAGAACAAAATGGCCTCTCTCTCTTCATGACTGTATCACAGATTGTCACTGAGACATTCGTCACTGGCTTGTCTAGACCAGGGTTTCACAAATTCGGTTCTGGGATCCCCCCTGGGTGCATGTTTAGTTTTTTGCCCTAGCACTACACAGCTGATTCAAATAATCAAAGCTTGATGATGAGTTGATTATTTGAATCAGCTGCGTAGTGCTAGGGCAAAAACCAAAACGTGCACCCAGGCAGTGTCCCCAGGACCGAGTTTGGGAAACCCTGGTCTAGATCCCTGTATCATGTGCTGTGTGATGGGTATTGGGTACAGCAGCTGCAATGTGCATTGCTAGTTACCGATTAATTTGTATTCAAGCACCTCTGTATATGTTCATGATTAAACACTTAACACTTGCATGCCAGTGGTGGCTGGTGGGACTTTAAATTGGAGGACAGACTCATAGTAATGGATGGAACGTAATATATGGAATGGTATCAAACATCAAAGAAATGGTTTCCATGAGTTGGATACTGTTCCATTTTTTCCATTCCAGCCATTGCTATGAGCCGTCCTCCCCTCACCAGCCTCCACTGTTGCATGTCTTTGCATTTCATGTGAAGTGTATGGATGTGGGGCTCAGTTGATGGTCCTCTGGAGATGTTGTCTCTCTTTAAAGGGGAAAAGACATTGTGAACCAGCTAAAGGTTTGACTGGGGAACCCCGGCTCAGTCTGCTTCAGCCCTGGAAACACCATCATGACTTCAGACTTGATTTATCCAAAATAATCTCTGTGAGTTGTCCCTCAGTGGCTCTCAGTATCTCGCTCTGGGTCTCTTTGTCACAACTTGTTGTGTATGATTTCTGGTTTGTAATGGTATGGTTTGGTAACTCTCCTTCCTTTGCATCCCTTTCTCTAGTAGGGTTGGGGCGCCATCCAGTTTTTCATACCTTCAAAATACCCCGGTATATGGTATGATCATATACCTGGCTGCCCAACCCTATTCTCTAGCATCCCTCTGTATATGTCTGCCTTTCTTTCCTATCCCTCCCTATTTCCTCCCTCCACATCTTCTCCTCTTATCCACGTATCCAATCACCTCTGTCCTTAGGAGCCTGTCTATTCCTCCACATATTTTCCTCCCATCTCCCTTGGCCATAAGTGCCAAGTTATTGACCCTCATAGTCAGGTAAGAACACGCAGCTGACCTTTCCATGTTTCACTGTTTTGCCTGTACTGGAAGCTTGGGCTGAGTCTCAAATTGCACCCTATTTCTTATATAGTGCACTACTTTTGACCAGGGCACATAGGGCTCTGGTCATCTATCCCGTATTTAGGGAACTACTTTTGACCAGAATCCTATAGGGATTAGGGTGTCATTTAAGACTCGCACGGTGGTCTTCCATTATCCCTTCATTCATGTCACTGAAAGGTTTGGTGATTATGCATCTGTCTTTTCCCTGTCCACTAAAATCAAATTTAGCTACGTTAATGAGTGTGCACACGATTTGAACACCTCCCCCTATTTCTACTTATCCTACTGTACTCTGTCTCTTTGTTTGTGTGTATGAGTAGTATTACATTTCTATGGGATTGTTCTACAAAGACAAAGCTACTGTACTGTGCTGCTTTCATTTCCAAGATTTTGGGGTTTTGTCCTCATATAATCAGAGCAGTTGTGGCTGGTGTCACTTTAAATCGGAGGATGGACTCATTGTAATGGCTGGAACGGAATCATTGGAATGGCATGGTTTTTATGTGTTTGATACAGTTCCATTCCAGCCTAATGGCTATGAGCCGTCCTCCCTTCACCAGCCACCACTGATTTCCAAGTTGTTGTTTTTTTGTTCTCTTATGATCAGAGTGATACAGTGACCTTCAGTGGTTTAGTGGAGGGTAAACACATGTAAACACTGTTTACGCACATTTTTTATTTTGCGTGAGCATTTACCCACCTTTTGCTGAAGAAATGCATTAAAAAGATAGGGAGCGTTACTTTAGTCACCGCGAACGGTGATCAGTGTTTACCCACCTATTTATTAACCAATGCATCACTGGTGACCTTACTGTACAGCATTTAACCCTATATGAAACCGTGTACTTACCAGTAGGTAACAGTATGTGACTGTGTGTTACAGTATGTGTAACAGTAGACTGTATGTAACAGTGTGTAACTGTGTGTGTTCAGAGGATGGGAGAGGAGATGGAGAACCAGGCTCAGATGTCCATAGAGGAGAGGAAGCAGATGATCTCAACACGGGAGGAGTCCTGGGTGTCTAAAGGCAAGGGGGTGGCCAACGACTCTACCCAGTACACTGTGGCTGCACGCATGGTCAAGAAAGGTTAGTAAACAGAGGCTGCACGCATAGTCAAGAAAGGTTAGTACCCCGTGGCTGCACGCATTGTCAAGAAAGGTTAGTACCCCGTGGCTGCACGCATAGTCAAGAAAGGTTAGTACACCGTGGCTACAAGAAAGGTCAGAGCACGGTACACTCATGGTCAACTTAAGCCGTCCGCATGCTTCCCAGCCAAAACTGTTTGGAACAGTTTGTGCATAAATTATGACAACATTTTGTGAAGTTTTTACTTGTTTTGGCCATTGGCAAGGGTTTCTTCGGCTGTTCGTGCACACAACATTTTTTCTCGAGGCAAGCCGAAGTTCGTAAGCCAAAGTCTACACCCATTTGTCGGTGATTGGGCAACAGTAGGGATTCTTCAATTAAGTGTAGGTTGTCATTCAACGATAGATAGACGACTTGTTTTTGTGAGAAAAAAAATCTCTTGAGAAATGTTGCACCAAACATCCTAGTTAGATGTAAAACCAAAGAATGTGGAAGCCTTTACAGTCCACTGGAGACTCATGAGGCTACCCAACTACATGAAAACAATTACAATAATAATATCAAAATACTATTTATTTCACAAGGGGCAATTAATAGGCAGGATTGCAGATATATAACCACCATACATAACAAACAACATATGGCATGATCACAACTACACACCAATAGATATTAAAGGAGACGTTTTTTTTTTCACAACCAAATCTCAATTTTTTATATAAATGGCATGTTATAGAAGGGTCCAGACACCTTTTTTTGAGATTTCACTTGTTTTTGAGAAACAGCCAATCACTTCCTCATCCTCGTTGTGCGGTATGGGGCCCCTGAAAAAACATGATCAAAGGCTCCAAAAATATTACTTTTAGAAACGGCAAATCTTTCAGTATAGTGATGCAGGTCTTCAGATGTTGTACACATGAAATTGTGTCATTCCTAACTTTATCTGCAAGGTTATATTCCATTTTGTTGAGACGTGAGCGATACCTCTCTGTCCGTTCTACAGGTAACTGCCAAAATAAAGAAAACACTTGAGTAAATGTGGGATACAAAGTATATTGAAAGCAGGTGCTTCCACACAGGAAGTTCCAGACACTTGTAGAATCTATGCCAAGGCGCATCGAAGCTGTTCTGGTGGCTCGTGGTGGCCCAAAGCCCTATTAAGACACTTTATGTTGGTGTTTCCTTTATTTTGACAGTTACCTGTAGCAGCAGGCTACACAGAGAATGGAACAGCTGGATAGGGGAAACGGCTTGAGTCGCACAAAAGGAATATAACGTTGCGGATAAAGTTCAGAATGACACAGTTTCATGTGTACAACATCTAAAGACCTGCATCACTATGCTGAGAGCTTTGCCATTTATAAAAAAAAGTGTGTTTTTGGAGCCTTTGTTCAAGTTCTTTCAGGACCCCAAACTGCACAACAAGGATGAGAAAGTGATTCGCTGTTTGGGGTAAGTTTATAAAAAACAAGTGAAATCACAAGGGTTTCTGGACCCTTCTATATATAACGTTTCATCTACATAAGAAAATTGAGATTTGGTTGTAAAAAAGGAAACTTCTCCTGATGTGTAATGATAAAAGGTCTAGCCAGAGGTTCCTAGAGGATAGTGTGATTTTCTCTCCTCTCAGTGTGGTTGTGTTTGCAGGTCTGGCAGCCTCCTCCTCAGTCATCAGCCCCATCCTGTCTCCTGTCTCCACCAAACTCAAGAGCAACGTGCCTACCATCAAACCGCAGGAGGGTCAGTCATACACGTACTGAAAGATGCAATGTAGGGTTGCAAAATTCCAACCGAGATTTGGGGAACATTACCAGAATTTTTCAACCCTAATCACAATTCTTTTAAAATATACAATCACAACATGACCATACAATATCTGTCAGGAATATTTTTAACTCTGTTGTCTGATTTTGTGTTTTATCCACCAGAAATCGAAGCCAGACCAGAGATGAACTTGGAGTCGGATAAAAAGCTGGATAAATTGGAGACATTTTTGGGACGTCTGAACTGTAAAGGTTGGTGCTAATAGTTTTTCAGTTGCCTCTACCCACGCCATGAAAGGCTTTTCAGTTGCCTCTACCCACGCCATGAAAGGCTTTTCAGTTGCCTCTACCCACGCCATGAAAGGCTTTTCAGTTGCCTCTACCCACGCCATGAAAGGCTTTTCAGTTGCCTCTACCCACGCCATGAAAGGCTTTTCAGTTGCCTCTACCCACGCCATGAAAGGCTTTTCAGTTGCCTCTACCCACGCCATGAAAGGCTTTTCAGTTGCCTCTACCCACGCCATGAAAGGCTTTTCAGTTGCCTCTACCCACGCCATGAAAGGCTTTTCAGTTGCCTCTACCCACGCCATGAAAGGCTTTTCAGTTGCCTCTACCCACGCCATGAAAGGCTTTTCAGTTGCCTCTACCCACGCCATGAAAGGCTTTTCAGTTGCCTCTACCCACGCCATGAAAGGCTTTTCAGTTGCCTCTACCCACGCCATGAAAGGCTTTTCAGTTGCCTCTACCCACGCCATGAAAGGCTTTTCAGTTGCCTCTACCCACGCCATGAAAGGCTTTTCAGTTGCCTCTACCCACGCCATGAAAGGCTTTTCAGTTGCCTCTACCCACGCCATGAAAGGCTTTTCAGTTGCCTCTACCCACGCCATGAAAGGCTTTTCAGTTGCCTCTACCCACGCCATGAAAGGCTTTTCAGTTGCCTCTACCCACGCCATGAAAGGCTTTTCAGTTGCCTCTACCCACGCCATGAAAGGCTTTTCAGTTGCCTCTACCCACGCCATGAAAGGCTTTTCAGTTGCCTCTACCCACGCCATGAAAGGCTTTTCAGTTGCCTCTACCCACGCCATGAAAGGCTTTTCAGTTGCCTCTACCCACGCCATGAAAGGCTTTTCAGTTGCCTCTACCCACGCCATGAAAGGCTTTTCAGTTGCCTCTACCCACGCCATGAAAGGCTTTTCAGTTGCCTCTACCCACGCCATGAAAGGCTTTTCAGTTGCCTCTACCCACGCCATGAAAGGCTTTTCAGTTGCCTCTACCCACGCCATGAAAGGCTTTTCAGTGGCGTAGCTGGCTAAAGATGTTAAAGAGTGTTGTGAGACAGAAGATCAAATATCGAATACCAGTGTGGGCTTGTGAGGAAGGAAGCTATTCTGTTAATCAAGCAGCGTGACGTCTGTTACAGTAGTCATTTACAGTAGTGATTGGACCTTTACTGTGTTTCTATCAGTGGCAGGTCTTCAGGAGACCACCCTGACAGTGACAGAGAGGGAGCAGATGGGCCGCTCTGGTTTGGACAAGGCTTACTTTTCTGTGTTTCCCCTAGTGGCAGGTCTTCAGGAGACCACCCTGACAGTGACAGAGAAGGCTGTGAAGGAGGTGATGAGGATGGATGATGAGATCTTCTCCAAGTTCTACCGTCACGTGGCTGACTTCCCACGCATGCCCAGCAGAATCGAGATCGACGAGGACTTTGACGCCATCTTCGGCACTCAGGCGCCCAAGTAAGCAAATGATTTAACCAACTAATGATGTCTTTGCTCTAGGGCTGCAAAATTCTGATAACTTTCCCAAACATTTTCCAGAAATCCTGGTTGGAATATTCCTGGAATAAGGAGGAATTCTGGAAGCTGGAAAACTTGGGAATTTTCAGAGTTACAGGATTTCTGCAACCCTACTTTGGTCGGAGCAGACATGTGATATTGGGTGTAGCTACATTGTATCTTTCACTACATCTACATGCCCTCTCTCCCCCCTTCCTGTCCCTTTCTCCCTCGCCCCCTCTCTTCCGCCCCTCTGTCCCTCCCTATACAGGTTGACCTCAGCCATAGCGCAGCACAAACGAGCAGTGAGACCATCTAGGAACGTCCAGTCGTCTAAGAACCCGCTGAAGATGCTGGCGGCCAGGGAGGACATCAGACACGAGTACACTGAGCAGAGACTCAACATCGGCCTCATAGAGAGCAAGAGGATCAAGGATGAGAAGAGTGAGCGCGTGTGTGTGTGTGTGTGTGTGTGCGTGCGTGCGCGTGTGTGCAAGCCAGAGTGAGTGTGTGTGTGTGCGCGTGTTTAGTCCTCACACATAATGTCTAGCCCTCACACACTCCTCGTCCTGTGAGTTTTAGTGAATAAGACTTCGGAGTACTCGGATGCAGCCCTGGCTGGACTGGCCAGTAAGGAGAACTTCAGCAATGTGAGTCTGAGGAGCGTCAACATCTCAGAGCAGATGTCCAACAACAGCGCTGTGCCGTACAAGAACCTCATGCTGATGCAGGTCAAAGGTGAGACGCCTACTGCATTACTGAGCTTTGTTCATTAGTGCACGTCTTTTCAAAGCATAGATACCTCCCTGTTTCTGTTTTATTCAGTTTCATACCTAATGAATATGACCTAGATGTGTCTGTAGTATCTTTTCTATACATTTTGAGGCATATAGCATATAGCTAGCTACTCATCGCACCCACCTTTAAGGTCCTGAAACGTCTGACAAACTTTGGTTTTGAGGCGAGCTGAATCAATTCAAGACCAGCATTTATTTTGACATTGACCAACGTCAATGTCATAGCAAAATATGAACAGGACAGAGAATATTCTACAGCCAGGTTGTTCCTGAATGAGGACAGGTGAGGACAGGTAAAGAGGACAAATCAAGTTATTTCTGGAGAACTCTGCGTCATTGAAGTAGGATGTTGCACCCAAATGACATCCTATTCCCTTCATAGTTCACTTCTTTTGACCAGGGCCTAAATGGCTCTGGTCAAAATTAGTGCACTTTTAGGGAATAGGGTGCCATTTGAGATGCAGACTGAGTTTTTTTCTCTGACATGGTTAACTCAGGAGTGATTGTCCATCAGAGTCTGGTATGCAGGCAGGGCGGACCTGTGCTGTCCTTTAACCTCTGTGTGTGTGTGTGTGTGTGTGTGTGTGTGTGTGTGTGTGTGTGTGTGTGTTTAACCTGCTAGAGAGCGCACAATATTAGGGCCAGTCATGCAGAGGGGAAAGATAGAGAGAGGGTCATGTTGGGATAGTTAAAACATGTGGTTGACACATACAGTGGGGAGAACAAGTATTTGATACACTGCCGATTTTGCAGGTTTTCCTACTTACAAAGCATGTAGAGGTCTGTAATTTTTATCATAGGTACACTTCAACTGTGAGAGACGGAATCTAAAACAAAAATCCAGAAAATCACATTGTATGATTTTTAAGTAATTAATTTGCATTTTATTGCATGACATAAGTATTTGATCACCTACCAACCAGTAAGAATTCCGGCTCTCACAGACCTGTTAGTTTTTCTTTAAGAAGCCCTCCTGTTCTCCACTCATTACCTGTATCAACTGCACCTGTTTGAACTCGTTACCTGTATAAAAGACACCTGTCCACACACTCAATCAAACAGACTCCAACCTCTCCACAATGGCCAAGACCAGAGAGATGTGTAAGGACATCAGGGCTAAAATTGTAGACCTGCACAAGGCTGGGATGGGCTACAGGACAATAGGCAAGCAGCTTGGTGAGAAGGCAACAACTGTTGGCGCAATTATTAGAAAATGGAAGAAGTTCAAGATGACGGTCAATCACCCTCGGTCTGGGGCTCCATGCAAGATCTCACCTTGTGGGGCATCAATGGTCATGAGGAAGGTGACGGATCAGCCCAGAACTACACAGCAGGACCTGGTCAATGACCTGAAGAGAGCTAGGACCACAGTCTCAAAGAAAACCATTAGTAACACACTACGCCGTCATGGATTAAAATCCTGCAGCGCACGCAAGGTCCCCCTGCTCAAGCCAGCGCATGTCCAGGCCCGTCTGAAGTTTGCCAATGACCATCTGGATGATCCAGAGGAGGAATGGGAGAAGGTCATTTGGTCTGATGAGACAAAAATATAGCTTTTTGGTCTAAACTCCACTCGCTGTGTTTGGAGGAAGAAGAAGGATGAGTACAACCCCAAGAACACCATCCCAACCGTGACGCATGGAGGTGGAAACATCATTCTTTGGGGATGCTTTTCTGCAAAGGGGACAGGACGACTGCACCGTATTGAGGGGAGGATGGATGGGGCCATGTACCGCGATATCTTGGCCAACAACCTCCTTCCCTCAGTAAGAGCATTGAAGATGGGTTGTGGCTGGGTCTTCCAGTATGACAACGACACGAAACACACAGCCAGGGCAACTAAGGAGTGGCTCCGTAAGTAGCATCTCAAGGTCCTGGAGTGGCCTAGCCAGTCTCCAGACCTGAACCCAATAGAAAATCTTTGTCGGGAGCTGAAAGTCCGTATTGCCCTGCGACAGCCCCGAAACCTGAAGGATCTGGAGAAGGTCTGTAAAGAGGAGTGGGCCAAAATCCCTGCTGCAGTGTGTGCAAACCTGGTCAAGACCTACAGGAAACGTATGATCTCTGTAATTGCAAACAAAGGTTTCTGTACCAAATATTAAGTTCTGCTTTTCTGATGTATCAAATACTTATGTCATGCAATAAAATGCAAATTAATTACTTAAAAATCATACAATGTGATTTTCTGGATTTTTGTTTTAGATTCCGTCTCTCACAGTTGAAGTGTACCTATGATAAAAATGACAGACCTCTACATGCTTTGTAAGTAGGAAAACCTGCAAAATCGGCAGTGTATCAAATACTTGTTCTCCCCACTGTATACGCAGAGGCACACATACACACACACACACACACACACACAAACACTCACACACAAACACTCACACCAAATGCAGAATATGATTTCCGGTGCAGATGTGACCGTGTCCACCTTCTAGACTAAAATAATCAAGCCAAGAATAGCAGAGTTGCTCGGATCATGACAGACAACAACATAATTTACGTCATAGTATAACAAAAATGTATTGTATCCTGAGCCTCAGGTTGCGTTCAAAATGGCACCCTATTCCCTATATAATGTAGTGCACTACTTTTGATCAGAGCCCTATGGGCCCCTATTCACTTGAGGCTTTTGTCAGGGAATATGGTACCATGTAGTGCACTACTGTATATTGGGAATAGGGTGCCATTTCAGAAACAACCTCACCCTCTCTCTTATCTACCCAGGCCGCCGTCACATCCAGACCAGACTAGTGGAGCCCAGAGCCTCGACCCTGAACAGTGGCGACTGCTTCCTCCTGGTTACTCCTCAACACTGCTTTGTCTGGATGGGAGAGTTCGCGAATGTCATCGAGAAAGCCAAAGTGAGTCCCTGTCTATTGACTGTGTGTGTGTGTGTGTGTATGTCTGTGTCTGTGTGTGTGTGTGTGTCCTTGTCTCTCTGACTGTGTCAGTGTGGAATAATAACTTTCAGGATTAAGGAAATGTCTTGTGTGTTAATCCCAGTCCTCTGGGGTTGGGTTAGTTGTAATTTGTGATTAAAAGCTGGGGGTTATTTTAGGGGGCAAGCAGATGTTTAATAAGGCCTTTTGGATGGGATTTTTAAGGAAGTGACTCCTTATGTTACTTTAACATGTCTCCCACACAGACACCAGCTGGTGATGTGTTGTCGTGGTTTTCTGTTGAAGTAGACATCTTTTCTGTGATAATGGTTATCCTATGGGCCCTGGTCAAAAGTAATGCAGTTTATAGGGAATAGGGCCACAGACACACTGTTCATTTGTGCTGTTCTCTCATTGTAGCAGAGAGAGCTGTGCCATCTGTTTCTACAGCAGCTCCCATTCCCCATGGAAGTGTCCTGTTTTTGTATAGTACACAGTTTCAAACACACAGTGACTTTAGCTTGATTCCCCCAGGATACATTGTTTTTCTCAACCCTTATATTTACTATACTAGCTACAGTATTTTTTACTTGTATCAAATCGGGTGTCATTAGGCAGACATCGAACTACAGTACGCCCACAGTTAGAGCATGGAGACCCTTGATCTCTCAAGATGAATGCTGACACGTCATTATAACATAAAACACTACTGGTATGACAAAACAAGCAGGCTCTGACATTGGCCTTTGCAAGTAAATCTAATGCTGACCTTAGCCCCTTACAAGGCTGACAGTACTTGTATTGTACTCTATATACGGTATTGACATGTACAGTGTATGTATTTTAGGTAGTGACATTTTCTGCTGTTGTATCTCTCTCGTACTGTAGGCTTCTGAGCTGGCATTGTTTATCCAGACTAAGAAGGATCTGGGCTGCAGAGCGAGCCAGATCCACACCATCGAGGAAGGGGTCAACCCCCAGAGCCCTGCAGCCACAGAGTTCTGGAAGATCCTGAGAGGACAGCAGACCTACCAGTGTAAGCAACAGCACCAGAGGCCATGTCTGTGTCGCAATTCTCCACCTCCTTGCACACTTCCTGTCATTGATCCGAAAGCATTGGTGGAATCACTGGCTGGAGGGAGTTTCCACCGTTGTTAAATCATGACGGGAAGTGTGCAAGTGCACACTTTGGGAAAGAGTGGAGAATTGGGACTAAGTTAATTTAGCTACAGGTCATCAGAAGCCTTTATCTTGATATCGTGTGTGTGTGTGTGTCTTCCTACAGCTGCCGGGCCACCGGAGGAGGATGAGCTGTTTGAGAGTGCCATAGTGGAGACTAACTGTATCTTCCGTCTGCTGGATGACAAGCTGGTTCCTGATGATGACCAGTGGGGGAAGGTTCCTCGCAGCACACTACTGGAGTCCAAAGAGGTACGTGACTGGACTCATCAAGTAAGGCATGTGATATATCAGAAATTGTGTAATAGAATTATTGTCAACCTAAAATATTGTCATATAATTATAAATACAGTTTATACAGGTTTTATACAAAAGTTCTGTATAAATAGCCTCTAAAAACCCTTAAATTAGTAGGTGTTCTAAAACTTTTGACCGGTAGTGTACATGTCAACAGACATGGCTCAATTTTAGTTTTCTTGGGAAGCTGTGAGTGCTATTGTAAGATACAATATCAGTACTTGCATTTACAACTTGTCTAAGTCCTATCATCAACTGATTTCAGCCAGTGTGTGGCTGTGGATTGACTGAATTGTTTGAATTAATGGAATCATTCCTCTAAAACTGGCTGGCTAGCTAGATAACAAACATACAGTGCAGATACATTCTTCAACTTCATTATTTTACACAATATCTTATCCCAGCACTGGCAAACCATGGTTGACCAACTCCCTGACCAAAATGGCTGACCTTTATCCCATCATAAGAAGGTTCATATCCATGCTAGTATTCTAATTCCTAATTCTATGGTCCTAACCACAGAGATCCTATTAAATTAATTCCCAATTATATGGTCCTAACTCTAAATATATGACTCTGGTTTCCATATGTTGGACGTAGTTTGATACCGTTCCATTAATTCCATTCCAGCCATTAAAATGAGCCCGTCCTCCTATAGCTCCTCCCACTAGCCTCCTCTGCTATCAATGAACTTCATATTATTGCAACCAAATGTTTACCGGAATGGCCATCATTGTGCCCTAGCTGTTGCTCTGTGCCCATTCTGATGCCACACTGTCACACTGTTGTTGTTGTGCCCCACTGCAGGTGTTGGTGTTTGACTTTGGCAGTGAGGTGTATGTGTGGCACGGTAAGGAGGTGACTCTGGCCCAGAGGAAAGTAGCCTTCCAGCTGGCTAAACACCTGTGGAACGGAACCTTTGACTACACCTGCTGTGATATCAACCCTCTGGACCCTGGAGGATGCAATACACTCATACCCAGGCAGGCAACCAACATACACACACACGCAGACAAACACGCACGCACAGACACACAAAATCTCCACCACTTACTCAAATCATAACCTCAGGGACTGTTTGTCCTAGATTTATTTGTGTATAGGCCTTGTGCTAAAGCCTGTGCTCTCACTCTCTTGTTCTCTGTGTGTGTGTGTGTCTACAGGAAGGGCCAGGGCCGTCCTGACTGGGCCATATTCGGTAGGCTGACAGGAGCACAATGAGACTAACACTGTTCAAAGAGAGTTCATGGATGGGCAGAGCACTAAGGAAACAACAACCAAAAGAAAACCAATGAGCAAGTCAGTGAGCAGAAAAGGAGGTGGGATATATCTCGCTACGCGAGAGAAGAGAGAGCGGCGATAGAGCGGAGAGAGAGAGAGAGAGAGAGAGAGAGAGAGAGAGAGGAGAGAGAGAGATGAGAGAGAGAAGGCGAGAGAGAGAGAGAGAGAGAGAGGAGGCAGTATGAGACGAGCGAGCAGAGAGGAGAGAGAGAGAGAGAGAGAGAATAGAGAGGAGAGATATCTATCTCTATTCTCTCGCTCTCTCTCTCTCTCTCGTATCTCTCTCTCTCTCTCTCTCTCTCTCTCTCTCTCTCTCTCTCTCTCTCTCTCTCTCTGTCTGTCTGTCTGTCTGTCTGTCTGTTTTCATCAGACCCCATGACCCAATAGTTTTCTGAATGACTCTCTCTCTCTACACCCCTCCCCCTCTCCCTTTCTCTCTCAGGAGACGCCGGGGTGGGAGTGCAGGCCCTATGATGCAGCATTGATGCTGCCTATACTCCAGACAGCAGTCAGCACTGTGCTGGATGGGTTGAATGTGGGCCGAGGCCATGGCTCTATAGAAGGAGAGGACAGGATGAGGACTCTAGAGATCAGCACGGTGTCTGTGGATGTCTGGCACATCCTGGAATTTGACTACAGGTCAGTTTCCCCCTTGAATTAATGAATTTGATTTGACATATTTGAAATTACGTATAGATCTGCCTCAGCCATTAGAGTACAACAATACATACATTAAAATTATCTAGGATTAAAAGCACAATAAAGTCTACCACAATTTCCATTGTGGTCCTTACTATTTAAAGTGCTGTGAACATTGGAAAAAACGCTTTATAAATATTGGAATATTCTTCTTATTCCAGCCGGCTGCCCAAGCAGAGTATAGGCCAGTTCCATGAAGGAGATGCGTATGTTGTGAAGTGGAAGTACATGGTGAGCGCAGCAGTTGGGAGGAGGCAGAACCCGGAGCAGAGGAGTGCAGGCCCTGGCAAAGAAAAGTGCTCCTACTTCTTCTGGCAGGGACGGAACTCCACCGTGAGCGAGAAAGGAACGTCAGCACTGATGACAGTGGAGCTGGATGAGGAGAGAGGGGCACAGGTACTGTCAACCCTAAATACTAAGGCCGCATCTCAAATGGCACCCTATTCCCTATATAGTGCACTCATTTTAAACTAAGCCCCCATACCAGTATATAGGGAACAGGGTGTCATTTTAGATGCAGTCTAAATCCATGCTTACATGCATCTTCTGTCACTGATCTGAGAGCAGCCCTAGATACATATGACCTGTGTCAGCGTTGTCCCTGTGTCTCTCTCCCAACAGGTCCAGGTACAGCAGGGGAAGGAGCTCCCTTGTTTCCTCCAGTGTTTCAACGGGGGGATGATCATACACTGTGGGAAGAGAGAGGAGGAAGAGGAGAACACACAGAGTAGGGATCTATCCTGGTTAGCAGTATGATGTCATAGCCCTCAGAAGAGTTGGTTAAGCAGTTAGATGCAGCTCTACTGTATTATTAGGAGTGCTGTTGTGTGACTAGAGTTACACAATTCCAGTAACTTTCCCCAAATTCCCAGAAATCCTGGTTGGAAAGTTACAGGAATTGTGCAACCATATGTGTGAATGTGTGCCATGTTAGAGGGGCTTCTGTCTGTGTACCTGTGTGTCTGTGATCAGGAGAAGTAGTACCAGTGTATATGTATCATACTGACCGCGCGTGTCCGTCTGCTACCAGCTGATTGTCTGTACTGTGTGAGAGGGGAGGTCTCCTGACTATGTTATTACAATGTATTCCAGCTGAGTGGCGTCTGTACTGCGTGCGAGGGGATGTCCCTGTAGAGGGCCACCTCCTGGAGGTAGTGTGTCACTGCGGCAGCCTGCGCTCCAGGAGCTCCATGATCCTCCTGAATGTCAACAAGGCCCTCATCTACCTGTGGCACGGCTGCAAGGCCCAGCAACACACACGCCTGGTGGGCCTCACCGCCGCACAGAGGATCAAAGAACAGTGAGTCTCAAATGGCACCATATTGCCAAAATAGTGCACTACTTTTGACCAGGGCCCATTAGCATTCCTGATAATTTACTATGCCAAGTAGTTGACCAGGAAAAATTATTGTCCCTAGTCATGAAATGTATAATGAAATGTGTAATATGGGACATCTGCGTCCCAAATGACACCCTATGCCCTATATAGTTCACTACATTTGACCTGGGCCCCACTATATGGGGAATAGGGTGCCATTTGGGACACAACCTGTATATTGTATGTGGAGGATTTGAACCATGTGTTGTCTGTTAGATGTCCATTGGAGGCGGGGCTCCATAGCAGCAGTAAGGTGACAATCACCGAGTGTGACGAGGGATCAGAGCCCACGGGATTCTGGGATGTTGTCGGAAAGAAAGACAGGAAGGCCTACGACTGTATGTTGCAAGGTACAGTATAGTACTGTTGCGCACACACACACACACACACACACACACACACACACACACACACACACACACACACACACACACACACACAATTGCAGTGAAATGACTCATTAAAGCATAAACAGATTGTTAGTGTGCTTGCTTCAAAAGAGCACTCTAGTTATTCATCATACTTCGGACTTAATATTATTATTATTTCTTTGTTTTAGATCCGGGTAAATTTAACTTCACCCCTCGGCTGTTCCATCTGAGCAGTTCTTCAGGGGAGTTTGTAGCCACAGAGTTCTTCCACCCCTCCAGAGCTCCAGACCTGGTCAGCTCTCTGCCCTTCCTACAGGAGGATCTGTACCAAGCCTCCCAGCCTGGTGAGTCCTACAATAAAATACAGTACAACACAACGCAATGCAATGCAGTGCAACACAACATAACACAACACAAATACTGTATATCAGTCTTGGAAGGGGATTAGGTCTGCTTAAGGTTGATTTACTTGCAAGCAAATGTCAGAGCTTGTTTGTTTGATTGTTCCCACCAGTAGTACCGTAAAGTTAGGTCCACATTCATCTTGAATTCACTGTGGGCTTACTATTGGAAATAGCTGATCTAAAATTACTTTATCTTCCTGTCCTCTTCCTGTAGCGTTGTTCCTGGTGGATAACTTCCATGAGGTGTACCTGTGGCAGGGCTGGTGGCCCCAGGACAGCGAGAGCCCCGGCTCCGCCAGGATACGATGGGACATGGACAGGAAGTGTGCCATGGAAACGGTGCTGCAGTACTGCAAAGGTAGAATGTGATGATGTCATCTGTTTGACATCAGTGTGATATTACAATTTAAATATGATGTCATCTCTGACCTCTTGTATCTCTTGGTTAAAGTTTAAAAGGTGCATACATGGTGTTTATCTTTTCAAGACCATCTAGTTTCATGTGGTCCTATGTAGCTCAGTTGGTAGAGCATGGCGCTTGTAACGCCAGGGTAGTGGGTTTGATCCCCGGGACCACCCATACGTAAAAATGAATGCACGCATGACTGTAAGTCGCTTTGGATGAAAGCGTCTGCTAAATGGCATTTTATTGTACTGTTAACGTGCAAAGATTTTCACTAAGGGCATGTATCTCTAGTTAGGATTTGTTACTGAAGTGCATCCTATTCCCTAAATGGTGCCCTAGTTGACATCCCCAGGGCTATGGTCAAAATGAGTAGACTATATAGGGAATAGGGTGCCATTAGGGCCGCACCCTAAATGGGTTGACTTCCTCCTGCAGAGAAGAATGAGAAGAAGCCTCAGAAGTCGTATCTGATCCATGCTGGTCTGGAGCCTCTCACATTTACCAACATGTTTCCCAGCTGGGAGCACAGAGAGGACATCGCAGAGATCACTGAGAGGGTGGGTTATTCGGCACACACACACACACACACACACATACTCTGGCCATACAGCTCCCACATACACACTCTGACCATACAGCCCATACACACACACACACACACACGTGCAGTGCTCTTATGTCCTCTGTCTTGGAACCATAACAGTATGTGTGTGTGTCAGGAGGCGGAGGTGTGTAACCAGATCATCCTGGTGGAGGATGTGCTGGCCAGGCTGTGCCAGAACACCTATCCCCTGGCTGAGCTGCTGGCACGCCCACTTCCTGAGGGCGTCGACCCACTCCGCCTGGAGATCTACCTATCAGACCAGGACTTTGAGGTGAGTTCAAGTTCAATGTTTTTATTTATCTAACGGCAAACCCTCTCTGAAATAGTTGATAATGACAGATTAAAGGAGTCCAGCTGCAGTTTATATTAAATACACAATGTGGTGAGAACACCCCCCTCACCATTCAGCTCTGACACACTCTGTGAGAAAAGGATACCTTGATTTAAGATTGAATGGGCTGGTTTCCCAGACAAAGGTTAGGCCTAGTCCTAGACTAAAAAGCGAATCTCAATTGAGAAAGCTTTTTAGTCCAGGACTAGGCTAAATCTTTGTCTGGGAAATCGGCACATTATGTTTCTAAATATTGCTTTGTTGAAATCAATGCATTGTAGTCAGGTTCATCTCTGATGTGTTTTGGACATGCAGGAGACATACAGTATGTCCATGTTATACATAAACCAGAGTGTGTTGCGGCAGGTAGCTTAGTGGTTAAGAACGTTGTGCCAGTAACCGAAAGGTCACTGGTTCTAATCCCCGAGCCGACTAGGTGAAAAATCTGTCGATGTGCCCTTGAGCAAGGCACTTAACCCTAATTGCTCCTGTAAGTCGCTCTGGATAAGAGCGTCTGCTAAATGATATAAAAAATAAAAAATAGTGTGTGTGTGTGTGATCCCCTCTGTGTGTGATGGATGAAAAGGTCAAAGGGATTTCCACAGATAAGAAGCTCAACGCAGAACATGTGAGAAGCAGCACCTTACTTCCTGACTGCAGCTTTGAATAAGAGCTGTATCTGTCACACTGTGTCCTGTACATGAACTGATAGTGACAGCGGGTGCGTCCCAAATAGCCCCCTATTCCCTCTATAGTGCACTACTTTTGACATGAGCCCTGGCCAAAAGTAGTGCACTATATAGGGAATAGGATACCATTTGCGATGGAGAGAGAGACAGACTGGCCCAGTCAGGTCACCCTCCATTTCACACATTACCTCTAATCTGGGTGCACTCCTCTACTCTCCCACCATTCAACAAGAGAGAGACCCTCTCCATGTGTGTTTATCTCTATTTACAGAATTCAACACACACACGAACACACACTGAAGGAGGACAGAGTGGGTCCAGCGTCGGAGCTCACTCTGTGTACTCAGGAAATGAGTTCTCGCTCTCCTTGGGCGTCAACTCCCCTCCTCAAATAGTGTGACCATGGTTACAATGAGGATAGAGGGCCAGAGAGATGTTTGGTCTTTGGTCTGTAGCATGCCAATGGCAGAGATACCAGGGGCTGTATGTATCAAGCATTTCAGAGTGGTGATCTAGGATCAGTTTAGCCTTTTAGATCACAATGAATAAGATTACATGGACAGGGATCCTAGATCAGCACTCCTACTCTGAGATGATTGATACCTACTGATGTAATTTATGTGATTACTTTCAGCTCCCTATTAATGTCTAATAGCACTGTAATAAACTCTGAGTCCAGGCTAACTTCTCCTCTCACCTTTCAGGCTGGGTTCTAGGGGATTCAGGTAAGGCGAGTTATTTATGATGCAGACTATGATAAATGAGCACTGGTGATTTTACTTGTCTTCAAGCACACAGCATCTTCACTCACTGTAATAACCTCTGACCACGCTGGTTCACTCTTCTTCTCCCTCTTCCTCTGGGCTGTAATGCTTGCCTTCTCCACCTGCACCCCTCCACTCCACCTGTCTTTTCTTTCTTTCTCCACAGCAAGGCGGAGCACAGTGGATCACTTCATGTCTTTGTAGCATGGGCTCAGGCGGTTTACTACAGTATTAGAAAAAAGGGTTCCAAAAGGGTTCTTCGGTTGTCCCCATAGGAGAACCCTTTTTGGTTCCAGGTAGAACTATTTTGGATTCCATGTAGAACCCTCTGTGGAAAGGGTTTTACATGGAACCCAAAAGGGATCTACCTGGAACTAAAAAGGGATCTACCTAGAACCAAAAAGGGTTTTCCTGTGGGGACAGCCGAAGAACTGTTTTAAGTTCTAATAGATCCTTTCTAAGAGTGTACTTCTGTGTAAAATGTATTTGGCTTTGCACTTTGGTGAGACCAGAGCATGATAATCAATGATGGTTCACTATTTGATGTTACATTGTTTTGAATTCAATGTGACTATATATTGACCACCCTTGGTGACCTATTGAGTATCTTCCTCTCTTCACTCTGGCAGTGTAGTAATTGGAGCTATTTCTTTCCCCCATGCAGAAAGCATTGGACATGAAGAGAGAGGAGTACGAAGGATTGCCAGGGTGGAAGCAAGTGAACTTAAAGAAAGCTAAAGGACTGTTTTAGTGTAAAGTTAACCTGATGATGGTTGTGGAGAGAAAAATAAATTCAGCAACTCTTGGACGACAGTGGAAGTTTATAAAAATGCTTCTTTATTGTTAAAACGAATGCGTTTCGGCTCCTAGCCTTCATCGGGTTGGTTGTGGAGAGAGGACACAGAGACTGTTGACATGATGGAGGCCACCAGGCTGTGTCCCCCAGAACTTCCTTCCCAGCGGTGTGACTGAACCCCAGTAGTGGCTGGTGACACTTTAAATCAGTGGATGGGCTCATAGATTCAGTTGAATGGAATCAATGGAAAGGTATCAAACTCATGGTTTCCAAGAGTTTGATACAATTCCATTCACTCCATTCCAGCCATTATTATGAGCCATCCACCCCTCACCAGTTTCCTCTGCTGAACACACTCTCAGGGACAGCTTCTCTGAGTGGGTCACAGGGGGGAAAAATGAAAGGAGGCTGGGGTGGAGGATCTGCTGAGGTGTGCTAGCCTCATGTAGCATCGTGTTTTTACCTTTCAGTTATGTAACTATGTAGGAAAATGACAATTCTGCTAAGCACATTGTATACGAGTGGCTTTATCAGGTACTGTACAAAGCAGGACCTGCACTCTCTCTCTCTGCTTCATACTGTACGACTGTGTATGTATGTACTGTAAGACAAGTCTCCACTTATTATGACACCGCTCATGCCATATGAAGTGAAGAGGAAATTCAGCAACTCTTCGAGGACAGTGGAAGTTGATAAAAAGGCTTATTTATTGTTAAAATAAACCAACGCGTTTAAATTGGTCCGTAGCCTTCATCAGGGTTTAACAGATAGAAGAATTAAGGAGGCCAGCGTTTCATGCCATGGACATTTGAATGACATACACACTGATGTGGTCACTGGGTGTGATGTTTTAAATGTTGTGTGTGTTTGTGAAGTATTTAGAAGAATTTGTATTTATGTAAAAAATAAAAAAAATAAAAAAATATTGTAGGAGGACAATGTATTGAACTTGAAAGTATTGTGTAATATGTCAGTAGGAGTGTTTTTTTTTTTTGTATGCACCTTTTTGTTTCGCGTTCTCAAATATGGTATTTGCCAGGGGCTGTCATAATGACATCTAAGCTTTACAGGTACCTGAGAAATGACAAACGGTTGTATTTTTAAAGGCATGGAATTCTTCGTGAAAAAAACTTGATGAATTTTGAATGTATAGTGCCTTGCTTTTGTGTACAGTTTATATACAGAAATTCTAGTCTACATTTCGAAGACTTTCTTTGTGATAAAATAAATGGTAAATAAACAACAATGAAAATCCCAAAATCCAAATAGATGTTAGTTTGTATTAATTTGAGTGAATCTCAGTTGTATTTTCTTGAATACTCTCATTCTCCCTCCTCGTCTCTTTTTCAAATCTCATTGGAGAAGAAGATCTGTGGTTCCTCCCCTCTGACCTTATCCTCCAATGTGTTTTGAGAAAGAGATGAGGAGAGGATGCAAGGAATCTAGGGGAGATTGGGAAAAAGTCTGTCCTCTCCTCGACTCCTCGACCTCCTCTCCGTGACCCGGAAACCGATGTGGCCGAGGAGGGTGTGAATTTGTTAGTAGGTGAACCGAGGAGTATGTTTCCCTCCTTGATTACTTAGTTCAGCAGAGGATGCACAAGAAGTGTTTTAGCGCGGAAGTGTTTTAAAATCTGCCACATCCCCTCTCAAAGGAGAAAAGCATGCATACATTTAAAAACAATATGCTACTTATCTTTTTATCTATAAAATGTATTGCACAACTAGCTAGCACGTTACACATTTATTTTGGGATTCCACCCCTGTAAACATAATTTGCCTGATGACATGCAAGAGTCTAATTTCATTTGTTTCCACGTTGCCTCTCCTCGCCGCCTCTCCTCGATTACCTTTGACCTTTTTCAAAAGGAGGCGGAGAGGACGGAGGAGAGAGGCGATAGGAGACGAGCAAACCAATTGAGATTCTCCCTAGGAAATACAATTGAGATTCACTCTAAAACTTGCTTGACTTTGTAGCGGTTTGTCTTATGCCCAGCAGATGGTGCTCTTTGTCCTCAGAATGTTCAGGCCAAACATCCCTTAAAGCCCCCATGCAGTCTTTCTTATTTTTAAATCATCACTGTATGTCTAATAAATCCCTGTGTGTGTTTATTTTATGAAAATGACTACAAATATATTTTTTTATCATTTATTTCCCTGAGCCTCCTTTAGCCATTGAAATGCACAGTCTGATCGTGTGGGCGTGTTGATAGAAATTGTAATATATTTACATACACAGCCCTGATTGGCGAATAAGATAATCTACACTCTAGAGCCTACCCTGCGTACCCCTTCAAAGTAGGAGGATACATGTGCAAATAAAAGATGACTGGTCAGAATAAACAGATCAGATTGTGATGTCATGCTATGGGCCAAAAACTCGATCACACCTGAACTTCCAGGTGTTTTTATTTTTTCACTTTTTTCAAAGCTCTTACACTAAAAGGCCATTATCATCACTTTTACAATTTCAGAGTGTTATTTCATCCTCATAGTGTGGAAATATGTTTTTTTTTCTAAACAGGAAATCAAGTTTTTGACTGCACTGCCCTTTTAAGTTCTGAACCATTTCCAGTTCTCCTGTGTGGCATGTATACATTTGCCAAGCATATGTACGATTATACGAGATATATTATTCTTTTCTTAGTGACTGCTGTGTAGTTCTGAAGTATGGAGAACTGGTTGTTGTGAATTGTACAAGTGTTAATTCATTATCTACCTAGCAACTAATATGCTGTTTGTTGGTCAGATGTTGATTCATTGTTGGGAGAGAGCAGGAAGTAGTTGAGTTGATGCATGGCTGTAGACCAAGCGAACTATGAATGTTCCCACAACTTTAGTGATTGTTCCCTTAAGAGTCTCATTAGGTCTTTAACTAACGTTTTCATAGGAATGTTCCTGTGACGTGCAAGGAATGTTTCCAAGAGACCATTCCCTTAATGTGGTTTAGGAAAATATTCCATCAACATCCCACCAAACATACACATTACATGGTTGCCATGTTCTCAAAACATAAGATATTAATGTTCTAGACACGTTTCATGGGAACTTTGAAAAAACATGTGTCCCAAAACACAGTGGAGGCTGCTTGGGGGAGGACAGCTCAATAATAATGGCCGGAACGGAGCAAATGGAATTCCACCTATTCCGCTCCAGCCATTACCACAAGCCCATCCACCCCAATTAAGGTGCCACCAACCTCTTCTGTATTACACATTCTTGTTACTGTTGCCAAGCCAATCAAGGCCCTGATTAGTGAACCACTGATCCATTCACAGCTCTTTGTCTGTGGGCAAGGTTAGAGATACTCACTTTTAAGTGCTTTTAAGAACAGTGTTTTCAACTTACATATTTGACACACATGATTACATTGTGAATGTTCAATTAATCAGTAATTATTATTCAACATTCCTCACCTGGGATTTGAACTCACAACGTCTTGGGTCACAGTACTCTGATCTTCCTGCTATGCCACCATGTCCATGTAAGGCATCAGTTAATCTGAGTATTCAATCATCATTGATTATATATTCGTATTTCAGCAATTTAAGAGCTTTCTTTATGGTTATCTAATGTTGGTGGGGCATATTAACCAGTTTTAATGATACTACTGAATCACTATGATCAATAAAATATTTTCTTGAGTGTACTTTTAACAGAGCTGAGATTTACTTTAAAGTACATCCACCCTATTGCTTACACCTATCCAGTTGTTTCAGAATGTTACAGGCTTTGGTTTTTTCATTTATATTTCGAGGTTGGACGTTAGCGCATTGGGCGCACCGATTGGCATCACCTCGTTAGTCAGTATGTGTTACACCTGTTCTGGCTTGTCATCTCGTTGGTCAGAAGGTGTTTCACCTGTGCTGTCAAAGGTGATATTTAAGAGTGGCTGGCCCAGTGTTCTAGTTGGCTTGAGCGATGTGGAGGGTTAACGCCTTTAGTTGGCGCTCCCTTTTATATTTCTGAAAAAAACAATCCTTTTCCCTGTTCCCGGCTTGTCCGGGATATTGTTTCCCATGAGTATGGTAGTCGCTCTAATCACCTACTCTGAAGCTCTGCTGTGCCCAGATATTTGAGTGTTCAAAATAAACTTTTGTGTTCGTTTGTCACTGACATCCACCCAAAGGGGTTATAAGACTGGTGGAATCATTTAAGTTGGAAGCCTTTGTGGAAAACCCTACATGGGACATGCTAGATAAATGTACGAAGGTGAATCTGTTCGTCATTACAAAGCTTTATGACATCAAAGTTGCACATGGCGATTCGAAAGCAGTAGTCAGGTGGAGGAGGAAATCCTTCCGGAGAGGGAGGATGATATAATGGGTCCTACGGGGTGTAGAGTACACCCCATAGACATGCAACTGCGAGAGGTAGAACTAAAGGCAAAATGGGAACAGAAATTAGAGCTTGAACACAAGGAAAGTGAAAGAGAACATGCAGCCAGACAACAAGAACAGGAACGTGAGCATGCCATTCGATTGAGAGAGATGGATCTGGAAACACTCAATCCAGTCAGGCCATCCTGCACCCCTCAACAGAGTTTGATCTTGGTCAGAACAGCCAACGTTCAACGAAAAGGAGGCGGGCATATATTTTACTCTGTTTGAGCGGATTGCCACATCCCTAAAATGGCCACAAGATATTTGGTCATTGCTTCTCCAAAGTGTTCATGTGGAAAAAGCTCAAAGTGTAAGTCGCTTTATCTCTTGACCAGATCTCAGATTATGACACTGTTAAAGCTACTATCCCTTGGGCTTACGATTTGGTCCCAGAGGCCTACAGACAATTGTGCCGTAAAGTATGAATGCGAAAAGCAATCCCGAGAAGTCACCTACACCTGTACTACGAGGTTTGTCTTTTTCTACAGTGCCCAAAGATAAGGATCGGCAGAAAACTGTTTTTTCGTATCTGCCAGTTTGTCATTACTGCCGTGAGAAAGGACACATTGCCTCTGTGTCCTAAGGTGAAACAGAAAAATTAGAGCGAGAAAAAGCCATTTATTTTATTAAGTCTCTGGTTGATTTTGGATCAGATATGTATGAACCCTTTGTTTGATGGGTTTGTGTCTTGCATGGAAGTTCCTTTGTATAATGTGGAACTCGAGTCTGATCTTATTTCTGGTTCCGTTGGATTGAGGCCTAGCCTACTGGTGAAGGGGGTCTAATTCATTTTGGGAAACAATTGTGGGAACTCAGAGTAGAGGAACCTGATGGGTTATCAGAAAAGTACCCTAGAGTGTTCCCAGCGTGTGCCGTTACATGTGCTATGTCTAAGAAAATAATCGGGTGTTGAGGATGTCAGCGATCCCACCATGGTCGATCTGTCTGAGACGTTTATGTGTGATCCTGATTTTGGTAAACCTACTGAGTTGACCTCTCCTTTAAAAAAAAAAAAAAGTGATCGAGTTTGTAGGACCACTGAAGGAAGAGAGGGTCCCTATAGTTTACACTTCGATGTCTAGGAAGCAGCTGATTGCTGAACAGAATATA